CGTTGCCTACACCCATCGCGACCTGAGCGCGTTGTAACCACTCATCGAGGTCGTCCATAGTACCTACGACGCGAATTATAATACATTAATTTTAAATATACATCAATGCCTCAAGTTAAAATATCTCAAGCGAGAGTGAGAAGTTTAATAAAAGAGAAACCTGTTCTGCGCGACACTTCTATCAGTCTCGCCAGGGCAGTCCAGTAGGTGGGTTGGCGTAACAGCAACTGTCGAAAATGGAATGCCGCTGTATCAAAATCTACCTTCCGAAATGCGAGGTCCGCCATCATCACGGACGCAGCCTCGTTATTAGGATCGGCGTTCAGTAAGATTGAACAATTCTGCGCGCATCGGTCCAAGTTGTTCATCTATGATAAATACATATTTAAATATATTTCAAATTAATATATGAAATCAAAATTCTTGACTATTTAATAAGACAAAGTTAAGATTTATTTCATGGATTCTTCTACTAATATTTTCATCAGACATAAAGATGGGATTAGTGTTAGAATTCTAAGTCTTTCTTTTTTTTTTTTTTTTAGAGATTTTATACGTATTATTCACCTGCATATAAAGCTTTGCCAAGGAAAGCAGAGCATTAACATCCGTAGGCTTGTGAGCCAATGCCTCTTTATAATACACTGTGGCTTCATCATAGTTACGTAAAGTTGACGCATAGTCTGCCATCGTCAAACAGATATTTGCCAGCATATGTTTCTGATCTGCAACATCCGGCGAAACAGCCAAACGTTGGATGTATCTATGTTGGTTCTCTTTGGTTTCCTTCAAAGTTGCCAATGCGCCTCTGATGTTGCCTGACTTCTCACGCACCTTGGCGAGCAGTAACAACTCTTGTCCTCGCATCTCCAAACTCAGAATGTCGGACTCACCTCGTTTGTCTAAATAAAGAAGAGAAAAAGTAGATATAATAATAAAAAATAATGTCTATCTATATTATTATGATCAAAAATAGATAGGCAAATAATTTGTTAACATTATTAGAATTATTATAAATATAATTAAGTAATGAATAATTATTGTATATAGTGTTAAGTTCATATTTAATATTATTTTATGTGAAACAATATTAATTTTAAAATAAATTTACCTTGCAATTCTTGCACTAAAGTGGCTTCCGCCTTGTCATACTGTTTCATCTTCATATATAATTTAGCCAGATCTAACTTTAGAGCAGCGCAATTTTCCTGCTTCACTATATCTTTGTAATAACTGATCGCTTTCACGTATTGATGTGCTTTGACAAGCGCTTTGCCCATTTTGTTCGCAATGTCCGCTTTATTGATCGGATTTTGTGAAAGCGCTTGCTCGTACGCTTCTATCGCTCTCTCTGGTTCTTGTATAGACATGTAAGCGTTACCCAACATGCTGTACGTCTTTGGTCCGGGACAATGTTCCACCAATTCTCTAAAAGGTGAATATATCAGCGATAATATAATATTCATTTTAAGATCCTACATAAATAGATATATCCAATAAATATAAAAACTAATAAACAGAATTATAACAATGACAAAGATTATATCCTTCATACCTGAAACACTTCGCAAACGCCTGGCGATCTTTCTTATAGTTCAAATTAATCTCGGCTAATCTGGTGTGCGCTTGCAAGTAATACGGTTGCCCTGGATGAATGTTTCTCAAGCAGCTAATAGCGTTTTCCAGTTCTCCAATGTCTAGATAGACTTCAGCAGTACCAATGGTAATTCTTCCAAGTTCAGTGGTGCCGGCGAGATTCGTTTTCGCCTCATCAATAAGCGCCAGTGCTTCAGTGAACCGCTTTGCCTTGCTATATGCTGCAATCAACTCTAAATACAATGTTGCTCGGTCTGATGTGGACATATCGGATTTTCTATTGGCGCTGCCAGTCAAGCCTGCCAGCGACATGGCTGTCTGACAACTCTTAACACAATTCTGCAGATCACCAGCCTCTCGTTGCACCATGCCGATGATTAAATGATAGACTGGCTCTTCTCGGATCTTGAAGTTGTAGCTTAGACCAACTTCCAGGTTCTGCGAAGCAAGCTGGTACTTGCCCTGATATGCCAAAATCTGAGCCATTAAGAGATGGGCTTGCGCATTGGATGGTTCTACCGTATCCAGCAATCTCCTGAGCAAGATCAATGCACCCTCGTAGTCGCCACTTTGCATTTTAGCCTTACTGAGCAGTAATGTAGCCACACTGGAACCCGGACAGGCTTCCACTAGTCGTTCCAATAAGCGAACACTCGGTTCCTTCTCCATTGCACTACACAACTTAAAAAGGACAAATTGATATAATTTTTTGTTCTTAATGTTACAATTAAATAATAAATTAAAATGCATTAATTTTTATTGACTTAAAAAATAGCTACCTCGTCACTCATTGGGGACTTATTCAAAGAATGCATTAAACGTTGCTTTGCAATTTCAAGACATAATCCCGGTTTAAGCTCACTAAGGTACTCATAACCGTAGAGAAGACCCTCAGAGCTTTTCAACAAGATGTTTGCCGCCGTATCCAAGTAACCAAGTGCCTTAATGCTGTTTTCTTTGGAAGTGATCTTTGCGGACATAAACAGTAACTGCACATTTGTCGAATTCGGCTGTATCTCCATCATGATCTCCACCTGAAATGTGTAAGATAAATTTCTGTAATACCTACTCAATCATCTCAACTAATATGTCTAGAAATTATTCAGAATTGTTTGCAAAAAAAGCAGCTTTGTAGTTGTAAAATTCTTTAAAGTGAATTATATTTAGATTTCTAGATTCAAAGAGGGACTAAGGATAAGATCAATCATATTAAAGAATTTTACAATTTTGCAAAGCTACTTTTTCTGCCAAATTCAGCTATTCATTCACCTGTTGCCGCGCCTGGTCCAGATCCTCCGCAGATCCTTGCAGCAACTGACAGTGTGCTAGGCCCAAGAGCGCCACGAAAGAAGATGGATCAGCGCGGATAGTGTTCTTGTACCAACGCTCGGCGTCCTTGACATTGCCTAGAGCGATATACAAATCACCCAGCTCTGCCATCAGTTCCGCGTTGCTCGACGATGTCGCTTGCAGCATCTTTTCAGCCGTCCGTGCCAACTCTAAAAGAATCCCATGGTCTTGGAATGCAATGCCAGAGAATAGTCGTAGGTTCTTAATCAGCAAGACCATGTTCTTCGGTTCAGCAAGCAGCAAGTTACGTAGAAATAGCTGTAATTGGGGTAGACCCTCGCTGGGATTACCGTCTCTGCACAAAGCTACCATCGAGCTCGCTTTGATACCGTCCAAGTTATTCGACTCGATGGAGAGCACACGGTTCACCATCTCCAGCACCTGTTCCCAATCCTTCGCTGCCAATAGGCACTTCATTTTTTCTATCAATGGAAGCGGTAACTTGGGATAGCGCACGATCAAGGAGTTCAGGATCAAGATGGCATCTGGATAATCCCCGACGCGTCGTTTTGTCTCTGCAGAGCCTAATAATGCACCCAGATTCCTCGGCTCTTCCTTCAAGACCAAATCGAAGGAGTTTTCCGCCCCTCGAAGATTTGCGCCTGATTTCAAACTGAGCTCCAGCCATCCCTTGATAAGTAATACATTGATATTTGTGGATTTCATTTTGCTTGCTCTGTCCACATACTCTTTTGCTTTGTCTACTTGACGAGAAAGAAGCAGCACGGATGCTGCTAGACATAATGAAATACAGGATGCTTTTCTGCGCTCGTCTCGAATCCTGTTCTCTATCTGAGTCATAGTGCTTCTCTCCACTTCGCCGTCAATCAGAGCAACATTTTGCACGAGCAATGCTGGCAGCGTGACATCTGCATAGTTCAGCAAGCTGGAACTCTCCTTGATGGCCTCGTGGTTCTTGCCAACAAGAATGTTTGCCAGACAGAACAGTAGTTTCAGCCTCTCGCTGTTCGGGTAAGCATCGCGTGCCTGCTTGACTTGAGTCAACATGCCATTATAATAATGCTGTCGGCAGTACCACTCAATCAGAGCTACATGTTCTGCTTCATCCATTTTTGTTTTTGTTTTTATATTATCAGTCTATTATATTTGAATCTTCTATAATCTATTCTGAAATAAAATATGAGTCCTCGATTAGTACAAAGCTAATATTTTCAAATTCAATAAATAAATAATAGATCTAATTTAATAAAAAAAAAAAAAAAAAGATAAATCTGCGAGTCAAACAAGACAGTATTCTTATCTTTCTGAATAAGGTATAATAAAATTTTGAACTTCTCGAGATTCTGAAAACTTAAATATAGATGAGTAAAAATAGAAAAAAATTAAAAATTTTTTAATTAAAAAGAGTTAAAAAATTATTTTATTAATAGAACTGTTTTGTTTATTAATAATATTAATCATTTATTTTGTGATTTTTATATTCACGTTCTATTTTATATGTATTTATTTATTCATTATGATATTCTCAATACGTAATATTCTGAGCCTACCTTCACATCGCTTGACTGAGAAAAAGCACCACGGTTTACATCGTTCAATAATGTTCGAAAATCCGCCGCTGGCAGGGTTTTCCCCATTCGTCTTCATACATCATGAATGCAATTTATCCACAAGATGATTTTTCGTTTACATCCTGCTGTTAATGTTGAAGTAATAACATAAAATCGACGAGGGAAAAGGGGACAGATAGGTTATATTATTTGTTGACGACGCCATTACTATAGCAACCGCTAGTTAGAATACCTGTCGCACTCACTCGGCTGATTCACGGGATGGTATTTAAAATGATCCCATATATGTAATACTACTTACATATATGAATGATCCGATCTTATGTAAATTCAAAACGAACCCCTTTGGTTTCATCTCGAGGATCTCAAGTTGAATTTAAAATGTATAAAGTAAGGAAGAGATATTTATATATAAAACGGTTAAAGCTTTAAAAATCTATTGTCCTATTGAGCTATTTACATATCCTTCTAGGAATTATATACCTAAAGTTACATTTGGCAGTTTGTACAACGCACATCGAAGCCAATTCATATGTTAAAACTTTACAGTAGTTTACAATCTTTACAATCGTACACATTTAAATGATACGTTTTCTTGTAATAAATACAGTTACATTTCAATTAAAAAAGTATCGAGACGACATGATTGTGTTGATGTCGAAGGTACCCTTCTTCGGTATTTTCTGGAAGACTAGTGAAACATCTTCGCCTCGTAACTTCACATCTCTAAAATTTGAATCAGACATTCTTAATATAAAATGTATCTATTATTTCTTTTTTTGCCTCTTATTTTACAATTTATACTTTCAGATTCCTAATTCACAGATTTTTCATTATTCAAGACCCTAAAAGATATGCAAAGAACTCACTGTTTATTGCTCGCAAAGGACTTTCCATATTTCTTACAAAAGAATTTGGATAAATCTTCGAGAATGGGCTCACTGTGAAGCGCGATGAATTGCTCCCGGCAGATCTGGAAAGTGAGACATTGTATACATTATGTCTTTGTCTGAAAATATTTGTTATCTTTGTGATGAATCTTACTCTGTTCATAATATCCACCGTGCATGCATGCGTCCAGAAACAATCGTGCACTGACATAAATGTGATTCCCGCCTGTTCGGAGTACAAGCTCGTCAACATCATGTGGGAGGAGTCCAACGAGTGGATGAAATTTGGCGCAAAGGCATTTTTTTGTTTCATCGTGTCCACCTTCCTGTAAATGGTACTTGTATTACGTAAAAAAATTTTATTTATGTAATCTATATAATTTACATAATTATAAAAATAATTTAAATAATGACATCTATTACACAAAAGGAAACACAATGTACGCAATAATTCCACAAATACATAAATTGATTAATATAATTCAGAAATAAAAATTCTCACGTTTTCTAAATTTTATATTTGATTTAAAAGTTTGGAAACATTTCTTTTAATTGACATTTTTGGGATTATTTAAATATCTAATGCAATGTTCTTTTCCATAAATTTCCATAAATTTTTAAATTTAATAATTGTTATTTTGTATTTAGAAAATGTTAAAAATACATTATAAATATTTGAATAAATAATCCCAAAAATGTCAGTTTTTAAAGAAATATTTCCAGACTTTTGACCTGGACGTAAGAGACAAATGCAAATATGAGAAATATGTAAACATGCAAGAAAATGTAGAAAAATTGGTGTTCTCACTTGAAAACTTTAATTTTTAAATTATTTGTTTTTTTATGCTTGGTGTAGGGTTGTATGACCGGAAGACCCAACGGTGTCATCCACTGCACATACTGGTTGCATCTGATCGTGATAGCGCGGGCGCAATCTGTGAACCAATTCTGTATCTCCTTCGCGCTCTCAAACATGCTCTGGAGAGACATGAATGTCTTTTCAACCAAGTACATGCTGCCACTCCAAACATAATTCTGATCAAAGTCCTTCAAATCGCTGAGCTGCCTGGCGATCTGTAGCCTGGCGCCAAACTTTGTCACGCCATACACTGTAGTCATTACAGTCTGTTTCATGACCTTCCTACTGACATGTCCTTCTAGGGCTATGGCTATTTTATTGCCAGCTTCCGCGTCAATCTTCCTGTATTCATCGACCATACTAGCGACGACACTATACACGTCTTGTGGCCTGTCAGAAGGAAACAAGTTCACGCTCTTTGCTCCTATTAGATCCCTCCCAAGCGCAGCGTAATGCTGCAAGCCGTTGCAGCTACCGTCTTGATGAATAGGTAGTCGACAGATGTATTTCTCGACGTTTGGGGATTGAAGAGCGTTATCTATCTCTTTGCATGCCGCCAAAGTTTGCCATGGTTCATCGGTCTTACTCCACCACATTTGTCCAGTCAGGGGATTTCTCGCGCTGTCCACAATCAGGTCCAATATCTCATTCGCGAACTCTAACCGTTTGTGCATCGGTTCTCTCTTCTTCAAACCGGACATGTTTATCGCATGAATCTTCAGCCAATCCAGACCATCGGGACCCAAAGGCTTACCCTGAGCGAACATGAGAATAGAGCGACCTAGGTCTGAGCTGAGATGAGTCAGATGAGGCGGCACTGGATACGCCCTTCCTCTAAAGTCCAGATTGTGCGGCATCCAGAATACCTTGTCCCTGAAGTGATTGGCAAGGGATAATTTGTAGAGACAGTCGCACCATAACGAGTGCATCTCGTTTTTTGTACGCTTCAGTTGAAATAACAGCCTCGATATCTCTTTAGGACTTTTATTCGTTTCACTTGCGATGACATCCGCCGAAGATGGAACTACTGTGGATGGTTGAGGTACATTCAGCTCTTTTGAGCCCCCATCCCTGAAAATCTGGATCAAGATATCCAACATGGGCACGTTGATTCTCCACGGAATCGAACCGAGTTGATTCAAACAGTCGAACGCTGGATATAACTGTCTTGTCGATGTATTTCTCAGCAAGTATGATGGTCTCATATAGGGGTCGCGAACAAACGCCGCCTTGGAGACCAAATAACCGCCAGTGTTTACGTCGATCCAAGGACGCGGTGGACAAAACGTCGGTAACAAAATTGTCTCGAAAGACAGTGTCTCCGAGTACGAGTCCTTGTAAAGTCTGTGTAGCTGAGGGTGAGGCTTTATCTCTTCCATGAAGAATTTATTGGAGTGGAGCCTGAAAAGTAGATAGAACGCAGGTATCTGTCGCTCGGGCGCGCCAGGCTTGGGTACGTGTGGGATCTTCACGTCGTTCACGATGATATTGTAGAGAAATTTGCCTACGTTTATCAGAGTGTTATGAGACCATTCTGGCACCGTCATTTCGCAACACATACCAGACTTTTCGGCCTCATCGACGAGTTGTTGCCACTTGATGCGCCCGTTGCTGATCCTATCAGCAGGATTCTTCTTTATATACCACTCCAAATACTTCTTATAGATTTGAATGGAATTGTCTATGATACCGTCCTTCATCTTTCGCTGAAACTCGTACCTCTTATAAATATACATTCCCAGTGCTAGATAAAAATGCGTCATACTATGACTGAACCCCTCAGAGCATTTTGTCAGGTGGTTGATTTCGTTCATTATCGCCTTGACATACTCTTCCTTAGGTAATACTTGCAAAAATGGATACAAGATTTTCAAATCGGTTTTCATCTTTGTCTCCTTTTGCTTTAGGTAAGTCAGATTTCTCTCGAAAGCCTCGGTCACAGTCGATTTCCAGATCTTCTCCCATTCCATGATTCGTTTAATAGCTTGCTGTCTAACTTCGGGATCTCCAGTAAACAATGCAACACTCTTTATATTCATCGTACATTGCTTCTCTATGTCGATCTGCGTACGCATCATATCTCGCAATTCGTCCTTGGTCACTACTCCCTTCACTGGGCTCTGCCAGGTATTATTTATCGTCAAATCCTTCAGTAGATTGCAGCTATATGAGATATTATTGGTTTGAGGCTGTACACGGATGTAATTAGGATCCAAAGATCTCATAGAATGAAGAATGGCATTGCGTTGCATTTCGTTCGACGATGCGTTTATTATTTCATCAAAGGAGATGCCACTGTAGTTCATATCTGCCATCACTTCAGCCGCGCTTTCTGCAAAGAGAGTCATATTTAAATTATAAAAATGTTATGAGAATATCTGTGCTTTCAATACTTTCATCGAGTTTATTATTTATAAAATTTCTGCAACTCACATAGAATTATAGAAACCTAATTTTCCTAAAATCTAGATTATTTTAAATACTAAATATAACATTATGTACAGAATAACTAAAACACTCTCAAATCATTTAAGAAAAATTTTGGATTACACTTTAAAAAATTATCAATTACGTTAATCTCACAAAAATATATTTACGAGTTTTGCTACTTTTTCTCATTTTATTTAAAAAAAAATATTGATTTACCTGCTCTTTTCGCCTGGTTTTTCATCCTGCCGATTATCTCGAACATGAGAATATACGTCTCGAAGTTCGGTTGTACACATTCCATTTTTATTGTTCTGTAGATCTCGAATACCTTTTCCACATGCGCATTAGAAATATGGGTCTTTAGGAGCAGATTGTAGAGCGGAATGAGGGAAACATTGTTTCTCTTAAAATAATTTTTATTCGACGTGAGCAACTTGAAGGCTTTATGAGGCATATTAATCTGTATATAAACATCCATATGCGCTAATAATTGAGAAATTAGATTGTGACCGAAAAGACGATTCTCTAACAGATCTGGTTCATTTGTGAAAGGGATCATAGCATATGAATTTGAAGATTTATCATATTTTGGAGTCTTCAGACTGTAAAAATGAATTAAACATGGTTAAAGTAAAGAATCTTTCCTTTTATAAATTATTCTAATTATAAATGTTATAATAACTTACAGTGTATCATTCTGACTGTTATCTATGTCTCCATTTTCATCATTCTGTAGCGTTTCCAGAAAGGAAGAATCCTTAATTAACGTAGTGTAATCACTTATGCCGGACTCTTTCAGATTCTCCATAACTGAGGGCGTATCATCAAATTGCTCATCAAATTCTTTAGGTAATGTGGCATAATGTGTATCGTCCACTTTGTCATCCTAAAATCAATACACCAATTTGATTTTTGCAATTTAAATACCATGATATTTAAATTATATTTTTAATATCAATATTTGATATCATTCAGAAATGTATTGTATCACATAATTTTTCAGATTTCAATTTTTTTTAGAGACGCGCGCATATCATAAAATTTAAAAAATCTACTTACTTTATGAATCAAATCCTTGTCAAGCTCAGTCTTTTCATTAATATCCTTGTTTTCTGTTGTTATTGTCTTCTTTTTAACACATAAATTAGGGATCTTGTGCAGTTGGTCTAGTGTAATATTAGGCTGATCAACCAAGATGGACATCTGGGTAGAATTCAACCTGCTCACTGCTGCTTTCCTGTTGCTGGTTGTCTGGTCTGTTACTAACATAGTAACAATACAAAATTATTTTTTATTAATCATCAGATTGAAAAATTATGACATTATGACATGGGTGTAATCAGAATTTTATTTGTGGAGAAAGGAGAGTAATAAAAAAATTAAGACTTATTATTTAAGTATTAATTTATAATTTTAAGGAAAAATAAAGTAAATCGATAAATTAAATGTGTAGGTATATCTCTATTAGAGGAGGAGAGTAATCAAGTTGTATAGATTATAAACTTCTTTTATTTTATATTATTTTTAAATAATTAGTATAGAAGTAAATTATGCATATTTAATTTAGTAATTTACTTCATTTTTCTTACAAAATAGTAAACTTTGGTTCTTTGAACTAGAAACAGTAACAGTAGTTCCTTTCCTCTCTGTCTTGAATTCTTAGACCATCTTTTTAGAACTTTCATCCTCAAGTCTTTCTTCTTATCTAAATTAATTTTTTGTAAATATTCATTAAAAATATTATGTATTTATTTAATATATTTTGTAAATATTCATTGTAAATATTTTTTATAAATATCCATGAATTTTAAAATTATCTTATTGTACTGTGTAATTAACAAGTCTGTTCTTTTTGGCTAAAGTTCTAGCATGGTTCATCTTTTCTCTTTTTCTCCGTAACATGGAAAGAAAAGAAAGAAAGATGAACCATGCAAGAAGTTCAACTATAAAGAATAAACCTTTGTAATTGGCTCTCCCTCTCCACTGCCTCCCTTAGCTACACGTATGCAATATGACATCATGTTTTTTCATTTTTAGTTAGAAGACACTATGCTCATTGTATAACTCTCTCTTTAATAAAACTATCAAAAGGAGTTATGTTAGAAATGCTCATAGTTATATTAAGCAAAATATAGTTGTTCATAAAGAAATTATTTAATTGTTGTACTTTTTGAGTGTTAAGATTACTCATATTAATACAGGTTACTCCTCATATTAGATACATGCTTATTATTATACATGGTTTTACATGCTTATTGTTATATATACCTTCCAATAACTCTGCGTATTTCTTTGAACGACGTTTGACTTTCTTTTGTAAGGAAGCGCGTAGTTTTACTGTATCAGTTGTTGCATAATGTCGAATCACTGTACATCTCACTGCTGAAAGTATACAAAATAAGTTATTATAAGAATTAGATATAAGAATAGGATTCAGTTTCGTTCAATCTTTATGTAATCTTCCACTACCTTGAAAAGATCCATCTACAGCATCTAAATATTTTAAGCTACAAATATATATGTATACAGCAATAACTAGAAAAGGAAAATTAATTGCAGCCTTTGATAATGCATGACATCGTTGCTTTATGATATAATTAACGTGAAAACACACCAGAATAGAGTACGAGCGTGACTATAAAGTGTACAAAATTCTTTCATTACGACTGATATCAGAAAGTCAAAATTGCAAAGAGATAAAGATTGTAATAAGGTGAGAAGAAATGAAATTCGCAAAACGAGACGGTGTTTCTCGTAATCATTCGTAATTAGAGGACCTCGAACACGTTTTTACATACCACGGGGTGGGCTCAGATGATGGAAGTTGCAGAATGAGCATAGCCGTGCCCGGCTTTGAGTGACCGGTCGGGCTGACACGATACGTGCATTTTGCATCGAGACAGCACGCGTTCTTAAAAAGTTAAACATCCTTACGATGGCTGCGCGACGCGAGTCATCGAATAATGCTGATGATGGTCGCATCGACACGCTGACATAACCTAACTTTGCGCACAAATTGCCATAATAAAATTAACATGCGGTAGGGAGACAGGACAGGAGGGCGATAGTTTACCAGAGAGAAACCTGAGAGCGGCCATGGCGGCCTTTTTCCTGTAATGCTTTACACTAGCGACACCAACGTCCATTTTTGAGCTACAGGAACTACGTATCACGAGAGACAGCGAGACGCGTTTTGTTTATAGATTTTTGATGAATGCACAGATGCTTAGTATAGACATCTGTGCCGTCACCATCACGGTCGAGTGGTTCGTCGAACTCACAAGATAAGCTCGCGTAGTGTGTGATCATGGTGGAAATTCAAACAAGGTGAAGCGTGAAGTATTCCGTAGGACGCGCAGTCGTTCATGTCACGTGATGTCACGAGCCAATCAGCTTGTGGTATTTAATGCATGAAATGAAGATAGCTGCTCTTCGCCCGCAGCAGCGAGCAGCGAGAAGTTTCATTTGTGCTCTTACTGAAGTGCAAGGCCACCTCGCTGAATTTATTTGCGCCATTTCGAGGAACGCGCCGTAAAATTAAATCGACGGCACAGCACACCGGTGAGACAACCCAATTTTTTTGAATTTAAGGTTCGACATGAGAGACCCATGAAGACCTCTAGTCAAAGATGAATTTTTATACCCAAATTACACGGCTAAAATACTGGATGGATCACGTTTTAATTGCGATATTCGTAATCAGAAAAGGCTCCTGAAGGCTCGTATACAGAGCTATTTTTTTGTAAAAAAAAAAAGGCATAACAATATTTCTGGTCTCCACGGGTCACTCCTGTCGACCCTTCAAATCTTTATTAATTTGATAGATTTAAGTACCTCTGTGAAGCTGGCACCTCATTTTTTTAAAAATGAGGTGCCAACTTCACAGAGGTATTTAAGTATTTTCACGATTTCAGCGATCATGTCCTCTCTCAGGTTTCTCTCTGGTCTTGCTCTTGAACGACTTGCATTTTCTGCACCTCGGATTTTTCGCTTGTTCTCATCATGTAGATAGTGATAGTACAGAAAGTGCAAGCAGAAGGGTCACTCATATGATTAGTGCCTGCAAAAATGAAATTGTTATTTATTATTATTATTCTCTTTTTATGTTTATTTCTAACAGTGTAGATTAAATTTAATTGTAGATTAGTTTTAAAAGTTGAACTTACTTTTTAATTTCTTTTCTATAATTTAAATTTAATAAAATATGAAATAAAGGGGTAAAAAGAGTAAATTAAATGGAGTGTAAAATACAGACTTCTATGTAGAAGCTGTGTGTATAATTAAAATACAGTATAGTAGAAAAATATAATTAAATTATCGACTATACTTGAAGTAGAGTGTGGTTACATTTTTACTTTTTCTGACTTTGGCTTATAGTTCTTTGTCTCCTTCTTGCTGACCATGGATAAATCTGCGCAAGCGCGTTCAGTTTTTATGAACAATAAAAACGTGATCTAATTTTACGCAATTTTACGGCGACGTTTCTTTATTTATCAGGTAACTATGGAAATGCTGATTTCCGTGATGAATTTTTTCTCTCTGTCTGTCTATGATAAAGCGGGATTAAAGAGAACGAGAGCTTGTTTTTTTTTATAAAACTATCATAAATTTCTATAATTAATTTACGGCAGTTTATTAAATTAGCAATACAAATTTATTGGATTTTTTTTTCCACATTTTGGACTTTTAATGATATTTAAACAATCTGAAATTTTCTAAGACTAAAATTTAACATTAATATATAAGTTTTCATTCGAATTTTTTAAATTTTAATTTCAAAAAATTGTTTTAAAATGAGGAAGAAATATTAATGTATATAACTATTTTGAATATTTTCAATCTTAATTTATATATAATATAGACTTATTATTAGTGAATATCACGAAAAAAATATTGAAAATTATGATTTTTTTCGTGCGCTCAAATATCACGTGCAATTTTGTGAAAAAATGTAGTAAAATTGAAAAAAAATAATACATAACTAAATAATATACTAAACTAAAAATAATACCATTTTTTCATCTAGGAAATATATACAACTTCATTAAACTCAGAGCATTGATACAAAAATGTATAAAGATATCCAAAACTGTGTGTAGTTTTACCAGAAAAACTTATTACAACAAAATTGTATAAAATATATATATAAATAATACAGGCAAACCGCAGTAAAATTGAGGAAATGGTATGAATTATATGAGTCGCATTCTGTTAAACTTTTGTTCCATCTATCTTGAAGTAGTTTAAACTTTAACGTTAAAAAAAAACAAATAATTATGACTCACACACACAATATTTATTACTTGCAGACCGAATACTTGAACTTCTTCATCTTCTGAAAGGTCGCACACGTGACGTTTGTATGCATCAAGATATTGCGGCAGAATATTTTTTTTACATAAAAAAAAATAAGAAGACAATGTTTGCTGACGCAAAATAAATTCTTGGCTGTATAAATGTGCAACGTTTAACGGATCGAATCGGGGCCATGCATCCTGTAAGGAAATTAAGTATGTAGTATATTATAGATTTTTTATTTAACATATTAGAGAAATAACGTAACAGTTACACTGAAATTACAGATATAGTGACGTCAAGAAGGATGAATCACAGATTGGAAAGCTTAACGGAAAGTGGACTTTCCTTCTCCCGCCTCACGGAACGCGAAAAAAGTCGCCTTCTGGCATTTAAACCTACAAGTGCTCTTTGCTTTCTATGTTTCTATAGCTTTTTCCTTTTTTGCGACTGTTTATCAACAATCCTATATCTTCCCAAGCCACATATAAAATCATCATGACATTAAAATTATGATAAAATGGCTGTAAGGATTATTACAAAAAGTTACTTTGATTATTCTAATAATTTTTATTTTTATTAATAATTTTAAATTATTAATGATTTCCAATTATCAATTATTTTTAATTATTAATAATTTCAATTATTATATTTACGATTTTTTAATTGTGTTAATGCTTTACATTTTTAATTATTAATAATTCATTAAAATAAAATTAATGTGATTTATTTTTTTGCTTATAGGTTATTATTTGTTTCTTATTTTTTTCCAGCCAGAAACGATTCAATCAGCCGATCATTTCTGATTGAATTTCGAAATTCCAGAAATGCAGAAATAGAATAAAATAAGCAAAGAATCGAATGATGCGGTCGAAGTTTCATTACAAATACTTTGAAGCATTCGGTTGATCAATCAGAAGAAAGAATTTTACGAATTGACTAATAAAAGAATGATTCAAAGCATTTGTAACATTGATCGCTACTCAAAAAGGTAACAGGCAAAGGGTGCAGTCAAAATCTCACTAAAAATGTTTTAAAGCATTTGATTTATTAATTCAAAGAAAGAATTTTTCTAATTGATCAATCAAAAATTCTTTTAAAACGTTTATTAAGTATTAAGTTGACCTAAGTAATAAAGAGCAAGAAACAGGAAGCAAAGAGCATATTGCAAATTAGGCTTTATCCTCTGTAATTCATGAGCATCTCGATAAAGTGTCTTGCTAAAGCAACCGCAATTCTAAACTCGTTTTACTAATATTTAATTGTGAATGCGCGCCCGTCCTTGGCTCCTTGGACTGCACAGAACGAGAACGGGGTTCGCTAAACAAAAACGCGAACGAGAGCCATTGTTATTTTGCAACACGCGCGGGAGGAGGCATTTAACTCGAAGGTTCCACTTTTCCCCGTCACGGTCACGGGAGATCGCGATATTGTTGCACGACCTCCCATTGATGTTATAAATGAATATTTAATACCAATTACTCCGTTAATTGTCGCGGCTTATTAACCCCAATTGATAATCGCTTCTCCGGTGGACCCGGACATTTTTTTCAATTACGTTATGAAAAATTATTTATAACAAATATTTTCCACAACTTTAAATAATTTTGAATTGCACTGTCTTTATTCTCTGAATTTTGGCCTTCAAAATAAGAAAATCATTTAATTATGTTAGCTTAATTAGAGTAAAGATACATTATTAATTTAAAGTACAGAATAACTGTAACTGCACCGTTGATATTAGAAGTACATACAAGATTTTATCAAAAATATAGCTAGGATTTTTTTTTAGGGGGGAGAATTAAAGTTAAGATTTTTTAACCCGAGAAAGGGAAATATTTGAATGATATATGAATTGTAATATTAGGCTTGTTTTTTTATGTTATATTATTATTTTAATTAATTGCAAACAGGTAAATTAAAAATTCGTATATATTTAATATACTAATTTACTTTACATCTCTCTTAAAATTGTAAAGTAATTCTTTAAAAAATTTAAATTTTTAACAACTATCTTAAATTCTAACAAAATCTTTTTCATAACTTTTACCTTTAATTCTTTCTTCTTTTCCAAAATTAACTTTTTGTTTTGCAATCTAAAAATTATTTTTTAAATTTCAAAATAGTCATTTTTATTGTATTTGAATTTCTTTCGACTGGGGGAGTATGTTTCTTGGAATTCTATCTTTTATACAAGAAATATAATATTAATCTAAAAAATAGAAAAGATCAATAATGATCACTCGATACTTCTTAGTAAGGAAATTTCGGAGCGAGCACCAATTATGATTAATTACTACATTCTTCATAAAAGTGCATGGGATGTTTGACGCAAGCGTTTATTTATCTTCGGATAACCCAGGAAGTTTCCCGGATGAATCACAGCGATTATCTTCACCGGCGAATTTAATATGAATTAGCTCAGGGAATGGCCTGACAGCTTTCTTCCGGGGATTCCCCGACTCCTGATTCTTCGAACCGAATTGAAGTAGGCGCTTGCCCGCGATGCCCGCGAAACTCGAATGCGGTGGAAACGCAGGCGGAAACGCGCCGCGGGAAAGAGTTAGAGGGTATTGGAGGGAGACGTCCTTGATTGACGGCGTTAATACATAACATATAAAGGAAACCGTTCTCGTCGCTGCGGGTCCAGACCGACCGGCAGCGCTTGACAGATATGCCCGCCAATGAGGATACCTCCAACGACGGGACGTCGTTGCAAACGGAACACGAAAGAGCCAATTCGTCGACGGAGTCTTCTTGGCGGAAGATGTCCGAGGAACGTCCGCGGGCGAATCCATCGTCGACTTTGACTCTGCCGAGTCTCGCTAATGGCACCGAGGAACGAAAAGGTGTCGAGAAACGAGATTTCCGCAGCATGCCGCGTCGGGACGCTCACGAGAAGCTCTTCAGGGATTTCTTCGAGCTCGTGCTGCAGCGTGCAGTGTTCCAGGTGAGCCTTCAAGAGAGTACTCGCATTATTTGTTTATTTGTTGATTTGAAGTCATCACATCGCGATAATCCTAATTGAATAAAACGATGCGAATTTTGCAAATTCGGAATTTCCGATTTGTATGCAGTATTTGTTAAATATAAGTAGTAAGAAGTTTAAAAAAAGGCTGTGCATTAAGAGAAAAAAAACTTAGCATTTTGTCAGTAAAACGTTCTATTTTTGCTATATTTTATATTTATATGTGTATACTTTATTTGTATTTTTTATTATTTATGTAGGTACATATAAATTAAATTCTTTTAATTTATATTAATAATATAGAATTTATCTCTAATGAAAGTGTTTGCAGGTCCAGTAGATTCGGATATTTTCTTGAACTACGTTGTAAAAAAAATTGTAACAAATATTTTTTACAACCTTATATAATTTTATGTTCTATATGCTTATTCCTCAAATGATAAACTTAAAAATAAAAAAATTGTTTAACTATGTTAACTTTAAGATACTTAATTTAAAGTACATTGGATAAATACCAGATTTTAAAGCGAATATGATTAGTAATAAATATAAATAATATTTATTACTAATATATAGTTATACATTTCTTATTTGAATATACTTGGCATATAAAATATTTTTTTATATATATTCTATATTACTTTTCATATTCACGTCTGTAATGTATCAGATAACACACAATAGAATATTAGTTTATTCTATCTGCTTGAATTTACGTATCTGTTTCTATAGAGAACGTTATCACGCTATCGTCATTATTGCAATGATATCAAAGACGATACCACAAATGTGAGATTCGCAATATTACTAGAGATAAGTAAATCTGCAGAAAAATATATTTTACTTTTTGCTACCAGATTGCTACTTCTAACGTCATAAACGGTTAATAACCAGTATAAGGAACCTAATAGCCAACATTGTGGATGTCGCGCGGAGGTGATTAGCGCTCGATTAACGTTGCATTTTTATGTTAATTCTATTCCATTCATCACAAATATGGATTTTGCGCCATTTGACAAGTATAATGGTGGTATTAGTAGACAATTATAATAACAGCGAATGACTCGCCGGCAATTAAATCGCCTGTATTGATCTTATTATCATGTGCTGTACTCTTCAGCAAGTTAAACGTAAATCACACTGAGTGACTCGACCAGGGACACGTATCAAGAAAAAATGTAATCTTTAGCGAGAACGCATTGTCTCCCGTACTCAGAAATGCGGCGCATTCTGTGAATTTGTTTATTAATTCCTCGAGGAATTTAAGACCAAGGGATACAAGAACGAGGAATTCAAAATCGAGGAATTCAAGAAAACGGATTTTCTTTAACAGAAATTCTGTTACATTTCTCTACATTCCTTGTATTTCTTGATACTATATTTTTTAACATTAAATATTTAATGTGGTTGAACGTCGAACTAAAATACTATTTTCAAGATTTATCTAAAATTAAACAAAAATTAATCTATTTGCAGAAAGCAGTGTCGTTCTGTTTGCTTAATTCAGAAAGTAGTCGTATTTCATCGTTTTTGCTAAGAGAAAGTTAAATTCAAGTTATACCATAGAAATTCACCGATAAACTATATCTATAGTATGTTGAGAAACACCTAGCAAATTTTTTTAGCTTTGTAACATTTTGACTCTCAAAATTGAGAATAATGAAAATCTTTTACTGATGTAATATTTATAAAATTTTTTAATTTATAAAAATATTTTTTAATATTTCAACTTTTTTAGATTTTATGTTTTTTAAAAATTATGTATAAAATAAGAAATCTTAGAATACATTTCAGAATTTTCATTCATTATATAAAAAATGTTAAAAAAATTGTAAACTTTTTCAACATTTTTTTTTTTATTTTTAATTTGTATAAAAATTTGAAAAACCTTCTAAACGGTTATAAAATCACATAGAAATTGTAAAAATTCTAAAAAATTATGCATATAATTATAAAAATAATTTTCATCAGGATATTTATACATACTTGTTTATAAAAACAAAGAGTAATTATTCCTAAAAAGAGGTTGATTTTCTATCCACTTATTATCGTATTTTCTGTCTAGTCCACCTCCGGAGAGGATCGCGTGGTTGAATGGGTCGATCCTTATGATCTGCGCTCCGTGGTTAACCTTTCGTTGCCAGCCGACGGTGTTAGCCATGAAGAGTTGCTGACGTTGACGCGTGACATCATCAAGTACAGCGTAAAGACGGGCCATCCGCATTTCGTGAATCAGCTGTTCTCTAGCCTGGACCCGTACGGGTTGCTGGGCCAGTGGTTGACCGATGCACTCAATCCATCTGTTTATACCTACGAGGTATCCCCGGTGTTCTCTCTGATGGAAGAAGATGTTCTGCGGGAAATGCGCGCCATCATCGGCTGGCAAGGCGGTGAGGGTCTCTTCTGTCCTGGAGGCTCCATGGCGAACGGATACGCCATCAATCTGGCGCGTCATCATAGGTGATTAATGATCACTGATTATTTACAATAGTTACCAATTTCTTAAGGTATATCATTAGAAAATTATTTATTTCATTATATATGTAAAAAATATTTTGTATTTGTATTAGAAACTCAAGTCCTTGTTCAAATTTTGTGTTAAATTTTCATTCAAATATTATAATTTAATTAATGTATATGTATGGTATGCCATTTAAATATTTTGTGTTATATTGATATTCAACATTTCGTAGCATCAAAATAACACAATTTGAATAAGTGAACAAATAATAAAAATGTTTTAAATTCTAACATATGTGAATAAAATATGTGTTATTTAACATATTATAAATATTAGTTTTGAACAAAATGCCCTATTTGTGGAGTTTACTTATGAATTGCGTCAGTATTCTTTGTGTAAACTTTTTTTACCTAATATTTGTGTTACTTTCTAACACATTTGTCTTGTGTTAAATTAACATAAATTTTTCAACTGCCCATATATGTATACGTCTATATTTTTTCTCCACATAAAATTAAAAAATTAAAATTAAAATTAAATTTAAAAAAGTCAAAATAAAATTGTAATTATATTGTTATCATTATCGCTTATTGTTACTAGGATTAAATGAATAAAGTAATCTCGTTATTAATTTACAGATATCCGAATCTGAAGCAATCAGGATTATCGCAGATGACACGACTGGTGATGTTCACGTCGGAGGACGCGCACTATTCTGTGAAGAAGCTCGCCGCGTTCCTGGGCATCGGCTACGATAACGTATACCTCGTCAAGGTCGACTCTCGTGGCAAAATGATGATCTCCGATCTGGAAGCTCAAATAGCTCGAGCCATTGAAGAGGGTGCCGCGCCGCTCATGGTATCCGCCACTGCAGGTACCACCGTGATAGGCGCGTTTGACCCCCTGAGGGAGATCGCAGAAGTCTGCAAGAAATATGGCCTATGGTTCCACGTGGATGCTGCATGGGGCGGAGGTGCACTTGTCTCTGGCACGTACCGTGGCCTCCTGGACGGCGTCCAGTTTGCCGACTCCGTCACCTGGAATCCTCACAAGCTGCTCGCCGCGCCGCAGCAATGTTCCACCCTGCTGCTCCGTCATGAAGGTCTCCTTCTTATTCTTATATCTATCCTTGTATCTTATACTTTTGTCTATTCATTTTTATTTATTTAATTAATAAAAAAATAATTTTTTCCATACGCGCGCGCGCGTTTGTTTAATTTACACTAATTGATATCTTAATAACTTTATCTTAAAATTAAAATATATCGTTTTATGATAATATATGAATTTAATTAATTAAAATTAATTATTTTACAAGTTAATTACTTGACGTAATTTTGTTATTTATTAATATTTTCTCTAATTTTAATTGTAATCGAAGAAAGATAAAATAAAAATCGTACAAAATCTCAAGTATCATATCTTTTTCTATGTATATTCTGAATTTCGACATAATGTAAGTGATTTTATAAATAGAATTTCGTCCTCAGGTTTGTTACAAGCAGCGCACGGCTGCGGGGCGAGTTACCTCTTCCAGAACGACAAATTCTACGATGCATCGTTCGACTGCGGCGATCGCCACGTGCAATGTGGCCGCCGCGCCGACGTCGTTAAATTCTGGTACATGTGGAAGGCGAAGGGCACGCGAGGCTTGGAAGCCCACGTCGACCGCGTGTTCGCGCTTTCGCGCCATTTTACAGATCTCATCAGGACACGTGATGGCTGGCATCTGCTCGTTGAGCCGGAGTGCACCAATGTTTGCTTCCGTTACATCCCGCCGTCAAAGAGGCACCTGGCCGGTCAGGAACTCGACCAGGCGCTTCACAAGGTGCGCAACACTAGACTTTACTCAATCTAAATGCGTTGACGATACTTATAGATGCAAATTAATGAATTAGGATTTTTGTTCCTCTTGGATTGACGAGATATATGATGGACCCAACATCCTGATTATTAATTCTTATATTGTTAATTGAAGCGGTTATTTTTAACGCATCACATTTTTTTAGCTTTTGTGCTATTTTGAATTTATAATTTATTTTCTTCTATTTTATTAGTTTGTATATTTTGATTGTATTCTGATGAAATCGTTGCAGATTGCGCCGATAATCAAGGAACGCATGGTACGAGCTGGAACAATGTTGATTACGTATCAGACATTGAGAAATATGCCGAACTTCTTCAGATTGGTGTTGCAGAACTCGGCACTAACGGAGGCTGATATGAAGTTCTTCGTCGAGGAAATAGAAAGGCTCGCCATGGACCTTTGATTAGTTTATAATCAATATGATTGGTAACTAGCAAGTACTGTAAATAGTGATATAGACTGTGCATGTATTATTAGCTTAAGAAATAGTTGCACTTGATAAATCAACGTGATCTGTGTTGACAAGAGGAAACAAGAAACAATCATAACATGTCTCTCAATTTTCATTTTAATTTATGCATAACACGCGCGCATTTAATTTCAATTATATGTATTACAGTCTCTTGCATTCTTATTATTTTCTTTCTCTTTAAACGTCATTCATATCCCACGCATGTGCGAACATCATAACAATCAATTTAGAATAAAAAAGCGAATGAAAGAGAGAACTGATATGCCACAGCAGAAGTTCATTCTGTACATATTTTATCGATGTGCAAGTAATAAAAAAACTTTAAGAAAAGGAAAATTAATATTTACTTAATTGGAAGTCGGTTAGGAAATTGCAAGAAAATACAACAGATTGCAACAATATTCAATTTCTCTTTTTGTTGACTATTATATAATATCAATCGTTGTCGGCATAACGATATAACTATTATATATACCAGATATTTACAGGTATTCTCTTCAATAATGATTTACATTTACATTTACATACAACAGTTTAGAGTTTTGTTACGATTTCTACATAAACGCAACTCATTAACAATATCGTATGCGATAACTGTGAATACATTCACGCAGCATCTTTAATCGAGTTTAATAACTTCCGTAGTTATGAAATTGGCCAATCACAGCCACTCTTTTCTCCACAGGAATAGTTATAATTGGTCAATTTCATAACTACGGACGTTATTAAACCCGATTAAGATGTCGTCTAAATGTAGTCTGTCTCACAATAATGAGTTATTAATCGTAATAAAAATATTTCGTTATCGACGCGTTTAGACTGGAAATTAGCCCTCACGCGGATATGCACAGCCCCATTATGCGGTTACTCCTCATCAACTCCTATTCCAATTCTTTATAATCTCAATTTTTCCCCAACGAAAAATATATTACATTTAACTGTATTCCTTAAGGAACTTAATGTGGAATTGCTTCAGTGCTTCGAGCATTGTTTTAATTTTCTCTTTTTGCGGCAGTATTGTAGTCCGGAAATGATGTGTACCAGGTATCTGGCCAAAACCTGAGCCTGGGATTACACAAATTCCGGTACTCTCCAATAGTTTGAATGCGTAGAAGACGTCTGGTTCTTGACCTTTCGCTCGCGCCGCCTCAATTGCTTTTGGCGGTAACTCGAAACGCGGGAACACATACATCGCACCCATTGGCGGGTTCGCCTGAAAAGAAAAAGCAAAAATATTGTAAAAATGTTGAGCGTAGTTTTTTTTGGTTATCCTATTGAAAGGACAGTCACCTTGTATCCTGGAATACTATTGAGTGTGTCGACAACGAGCTGTGATCTCTCTGCCAGAGAGCGCAGAGTTTCTTTCTTTTCTTTCTGGAATTGCTCATATGATGGCTCATTTGGTCGCGGCGGATTCACCACAACATCCATCACTACCTGACCGAGCACGGTAGGACACAGCATCGCAGAGATCGACTTCAATAACACCTTCATCACTTCCGGATCCATGTTGATGATTTCGGCGTAACCGCCACGGATCCCACACTCACCCATATATCCTGAAAACGAAATATCTCAGCACGGAATGCTTCTGAAATTTCCCGAGAAATATATTCATGAATTTAATTTGATAACCGAAATTCAATAATTTTTCAAATCAAATCCTCATGTTTAATATGTTTCAACTACCAATAAATTATTGCAAACATAATTAAAAAATTCAATATCCCTTGATTAAATTGTCCTGAAAATTTAATATTTTAAATGAATTGTTTTAGTGAACGAATTACGTTTCGATTTAATTTCCGAACTCTTTTTTCGCACCTTTCGAGATGGACATAAACGATGCAAGTTCCATTTTCGAATACGGCTCGCCCATCTCTGTCATGACCTTCTTGAAGGAATGGAATGCACTGTCTTTGTCGTATATGTTGTCCTGGTAGACTTCGTCGGCCAGCAAGAACAAGTGATGTTTATGGGCGAAGCGGATGACATTTTCGATATTCTTGCGAGTCAATACTTGGCCGGTAGGATTACCGGGATTAATCACCACCAACACGCGAGGATTACACGTATCCTTGACTTCTTTTAATGCTCTTTCTAGTTCGCTGACTTCTAACGACCACTTGTTAGTCTCATCCAAATAATACCCGATCTGAGCAAGACCAAACTCCGCCAAAGTTGCCGAGTACAAAGGATACTGTGGAATTGGAATCAGTATACCAGATGGTTTATCGTTGATCCTTTCGTTGAATAATTTCAGGAATGACTGAAAAAAAATTCAAAATCAGACAAGGATATGTTTAAAAAGGTAAAATATATAGCTCAGTCTGTTCAAAATAACAAAGTTAAAATGCTAATTTTATAATTTATATATGCCGTGCATTGCATACGTAAAATTTTTTAATACAAAATTTTTTAACTGTTGTCTCCAAATTGCGAAAATTTGAATGAATACAAATAGAAGCAACAGAATTAAAAAGCGATAACACGCGAGGTGAAAAATATTTTTTAATTATAAAAATTACCTAAATATTGTATTTACTTTTATTAAATTATATTTACTCTCACTTGAATTAAAACAATATCGTCATTGCAATAAAATAACTTTTAAAACAATGAGATAAAAGTATAGAAACTCTGGAACTTAATTCTGTTTATTTTTAACTGTCGTGTTGGCGATGTTCGACAAAAGATCTTTGCTGAGAGCTGAAGCATGTGCATCTTGGTAATGATGTATCTCAACAAATTTGGCTCGTTATTTATAAATGACTCGCAAATGGAGGTTGAAAAACATTGATCTAATACATAAATATATATATAATGTACGCATAAAATAACTTTACATGCTTATTATTATGTAGAAAAAATGAACTCGAATAATAAGACTGCAAAACTTTCATTTTTTTAAATATTCTTTAACATCATATAATTATTTCCTTTTGACTTTGAACATTTGTCAATTTATTTTTCTCGCATGCCAGAATATTAGTAAATAACTAGATTACTTTCAAATGTTTCGAATAACAAGGAGATATACTTGAAGTCTAAGTACCTTGATACCATCAGAAGCACCATTCGAAAGGATGACGTTGTGGTAATCGCAAGGAATACCGCCATCGCGTTCCTGAATGTACTGTGCAACATGCTTGCGAATGCACTCGATGCCGGCTGACTCCGAATACGAGCCCACGCTGCCGCCCTTGCAGCCCCCCAGGACCAACCTGGCGCGATCCTTCGCGTCTTCCGGGTAGCTTGGATCACTCAGTAGATTTGGCGAGACCGTCAGGGTGAGTACTTGTCGCAGAAACGTGATAGGCTGCTGACCCATAGCGTGGGCATCGCCCACGTTTGCTTTGATTACCTCCTTGAAGGGTTTTTTAACGCCCTACATGCAAAGAGAAAAAACTTTAATCCAAATGCTATTTATGTTCTTATTTTTCAACATTTCCGAACTTTTCAGCGACTATAAGTTACACAAATCGAAATTATGTTGAGGCAAGGTTTACTTGAAGTTAAACAGAAAGTAATGTTTTATTATTTATTCAAATCTTTGAGATTATAGTTCGTGGAAATGACAATTTTTTTTAATATTACAAATTTTAAAAATATGATACTTTAATTTTTTTTCATTAAAAAAATTAAATAATAGGATAAATAAAATTTTTTAGTAGAAAAATGTCACATATTTTTATACGCGAAGTGTATAAAATATAGTAACTACCTTTAACAAAGGAAATAACGTCATTCTATTAAACTTCGTACCGCAAAATTACGTCATCGACGAGCGTTATGCAATTGTGTGTAAAATGAATAAAAATGCGAGAACGTAGGTATACATCACAGCAATATTATTCAGCGTGTAAATGCATTGATGAATAAAACGCGTTTTTTTTTTTACAATGAACGGTCGTTCACATTTATAAAAGATCAATACTCTTGTATTTAAACATTTTTTATGTATCTGGCGCTTTAAAAATATGCATAAAAGTGCGCATAAAAAAGTCTTTTCGAAATTCTAAACAATCTGAAATTAAATTGGAATTGGAGTAGTGCGACCTAAACAGATGTCTCTAAAGAAATATGTTTATCGGATACAATGTGTATCTGTAAATAACCGGTAAAACCGTTTAATTCGGAAGACTCATTTACGTGGAAACATTAAAGGAGATAATGGCACAAATATATCTAGTCTTCTCGCCTTTGATATTTTCAATTTCAAATGCGTTTTTTTTTAATATTCAATTTTTACATTTTATTTTTCATACTGTGTATATACGTTTCTGTTAGTACTAACGTCATTTCTCGGGTTTGATAATGCGATAAGAGGCTACCATATGTGCCTGTACATTACCGAAATAAAAATGAAAGTTATCCGCTCGAGGCTATTCGAGGCAATTGCGTTACGTTCTCACGCTGCAGGCAATAAAAATGCTTGGAAACCAATTACATGACTGATTGTAAATGGAATAAAATGCGTCAATTACAGTTATGTGCAAAAATACTTTGCATTATCAATACGCATCATCAAACACTTGTACGTTAATCTTTTCATATAGATAATAATACATAATCGCGTTATGTTCGAATTGTTTCCATTTTATTATTTGCAGAAAATTAATTTAGGCAAATGTTTGTTAAATAACTTGGGTAAATATTTAAATATTAATTAATATCGATATTCTACATTGTGTGCATTCATTTGTATTTTATTATTTGCAGAGCAGATAATATATTTATATGTTATATTATTTAGATTTAGATATTTCATATTGCTCTTATCTATATTATCTGCAAAGCAGGTAATTTAAATAAATATATTTACGTGCTAATATATAATTTAGATGTTCCACGTCATGTTCATATATATTTTATTTCTGCAGAATAAATATATACAGGGTGTCCGGTAAGTTCTGACAGAGCACGCGTGACATATAAAGCGGATTAAATTGAATCGAAAAGTCCTGTACCATTTTGCAATTTTGGCAATAGTTAACGAGATATTAATTTCTAATTATTACCAAATAACGTAGTAAAATCGGCATATAAGACAACTTTAAGATATCTTTCAAAGTTATTTACAAAATATCTTAAAAATATTTCTTAGAGAACTCTTTGGCTGTTTATCTCTTGCCTTTTTTATTAAGAAGGCAAGAGATAAATAGCAGGTAAGAAACAGGAAACAAAAAGCACATTGTTATTAGCCTTAGGCTCAGTTTAACAACACATGGTTAATTCTTAACCGAGGTTTAACTATTTCCAATTAAGGATTACAAAGAGATAAGGAATAAGTTAAACCTCAGTTAAGAGTTAACCATGAGTCGTTAAATTGGACTTTGAAGGTATCATAAAATCGTTTTATGTGCGTCAATTTTAGATATTTTGCATACTGGATAACTATAAATAAAAACATTGTGAAAATTGCAAAATGATAGAAGACTTTTCGTCTCAATTTAGTCTGTTTTATTTGTTAACGAGAGCTTTGATAAAATTTATCGATTTAATCACCCTGTATACATATTTAATATAGATAAATATTACAGGTATTTATATTCTAATGTAGTACAGATCCCTATGTATCATCTGTATTTTATTATTATTTAGTAAATTAGATAAGAGCTTGGATGTAAATCACTTAGGTACATTTCATTGTTTCTTATTTACTTGCTAAACAGAATGACTCATCATTACTGTACAATATTTGTAAGTGAATAGCATGTTCTGGAGATAAAGTATAATAAAAGATCGTGATACAAAAATGTCGTACAACAGTTTTTTAATTATAATCGATTAAGTGTAATGAGTAATAACACGTTAAATTCGCGCGTTAATTAAAGTACATATTATAGTTAAATAAACACGCGCATCGATCTCTGTCATTTCTCTTAGTGACACGTGTCAGTGTAACAATGGGCCTCGACGCACAAATTCTACGCGATATTCTAAATATATTTGATAAGTAATAATTCAAAAACTATGTTGTGACCTCGAGATTTTCGTATTAGGATCTCTACTGATAATGACATTATTAGACGTCGAAATACTGTTTGTTGTTTAAACTGTACTTTATTAAAAATTTAATAATAAACATTTAGCTAGACTCGTAGTCCTTCATTTACTAACTTGTCTTTTACTCTACCTTCAAAATTCGCTATTAAAATATTGTACATTAATTGTGAGACACCCTGTATATTACGTTCCACTAATTTTTAAATCTGTGTTCTCCTAATGTGTTAATTTATAACAAATTTTTGGAATAGATAAGTTACCAACGCTGAAATCTATGTTTTTAACAAAATGCAAATTACGCGGAATATTTTTCCATAGATCCGCACGACTTGGCATTTAAAAGCGATGGGTTTAAAACTGAGGTTCTCAAACATAGGCTCTCAAATTTTAACGTCGCCTCTTCCTATTAGTCATATTTTTGCTCGATGTCAAGAATCGAAGCGATATTTCGCGATATATATATTTATCACAGTTCCTTTTCTCGAATAAACCAGAGATTTTGCTTATCTTATCTCTCGCACGCAGAGAATGAAGTACTATTTTGAGGTAAAAACGCATCCTCAGTCATTCGCACTTCACACAATTAGAGCCTCAATTAGCGATTATTTCCCCCTCCCCTTCTCCTCCTCGTCCTTCGCTTTCGATACTTGACGTTTCACCATGACAACCTCGCGTTCTATCATTGAGCCCATCCCTCTTCCATCCCTCTCACCCATCTTTCGTTCGCGCTCGTTCCGTTTGCATTCGATGTAACTGCTATGAGCGCACAACTTTGTGTCGCTACTATATATGGTTCCTTTTTTTTAGGGGGGTCTTATTCGAATGGGATTCTATTCTGCCTTAGAGTGGCGAGTCGTCGCTCTTGACGGATCACGCACTCCGGCTTACTAATCATTTTATAACATTGTTGCGAACGTGAATTAACCGTCAGTTAACAGATTTCGCATCGTCGTCGTTTCTGCCAAATTTGTTGCAAACGCTTGGCAAGATATGCTGCTTTTCTGAGACTTGGCTGGCTGGGCTAGTTTTTCCCTTACCTTTTGCAGCTCCTTCTCGATCTCCAGCGCCCTGATGAGCAGCGGCCCGCGCACCGCGTACTCCATCTTGCGCAGGTTCACGAAGACGTTGTCCTCGGTGAGGACCTTGCCGCGCGGGCTCGTCGCCGCCGCCGTCGCTGCGCTCGATGCCATGCCGCGACACGGAATAACCGGCTGGAGTAGCATCGGTGCGGATACCGGCGGCGAGTCCATCATCCCTACCCCTCGGCCAATCAGCACCCCGCCACCGGCACTCTGTCTCGCCGCTGACGTCGCCGCCGCCGTCGATGACGCTGTCACTGACATCGTCTTCGTCGGCCAGCCGCCGGCAATCATCGCGTTCCTCAAACGCGTATGCGACATGTTTAATTACCCTGCACCTCCTTCTCTTCCTTGCCTTCTCGAACCCGTGTCTCTTTTCCTCCGACGAAAGGGAACTTGCGGCGCCGCTCTCTTTCTCTCTCTGTCTCTCTCTCTCTCTCTCTCTTTCTCTCACTCTCTCTCGAGGTCTTTCGTTTATCACTCTCGCTGTATTAATCAGCGTCCGCTTTTTCCCCTTCGTCTGCGTTAATCTCTATTTCGCGTTGCTCATCGCCGCGAAAAATTCCTCCGGAGCGGATCTAGCTCCGATGCGGCGGCGACTCTTTCTACTCCTCGACTCCGCGAAAACTGTAATACGCGTGGCGGGATGCGCGCGCCCGCGCGCGCACGCGGAATCGAGGCAAGTCGAACGAGAATCGAGACGGAGAATACGAAATTACGCACGCAACGCACGCACACCGTGCCGCTCGACGTTTCTCGACGCCCAACGATTACTGGGTGCAAGGGGCGGCGGGGTGGTAGGGGAAAAAACTAGCGGAGGAGGTCGAAAGCTAACGATATTGACGGCGATACAAAGTTCGATCCAAGTGGCACGCCACCTGGGGACGCGCCGACGACGTCGACGATCCGGGTGACGGAAAATGACCCGCGTGAATATGAATGTGGCCGGCTAGAGCGACTCGTTCTTCTGAAAAAAGAGACGAAACAAAGAAACTGAATACTCGGTCAATTTAGGTCTAATTTTACCGTGCAATATAAGATTAATTTTCATCTCGATTTAACTTTCCAAAGAACGTAAAAAGTCAACAAAAAATTAGAATCAAATCAAAATAAAAACAATTAAATTCATCGTCAATTAATTTGGTAATAATGCAACTTAAAACTCATACATATAATTAAAAGGTGTCATTAAATTTAAAAACATTATTAATCTCCAAAATCTCGATCACATTGGCGGTATTGGCTTTTCCTTTAATTATTTGAATTATTCGTTTATAGCGATCTAAATTAATTTATTATAACATTATAACATAATTTATATACATATTTATTATAATCTATTTAGATGTATTTTATATAACTTGTACATATCATGTATTTTGTTAAACTTTTAAAATTTATGTGGTGCACATTTTGGGTGCAAATCATTAACTTATCAAAACGGTAAAATACATTTTGCGCTAGCTGTGCAATAAGAATTATTCAGAAAATCACATGTCAGTGATCACAAATCACGGTCACCACAAATCTAACACATTGAGATCACGGTCTTTGTACTATGAACCTCGAAACAGACTTATGGACTGATGCATATGCCCTGTCGCGACTTTATCTCTTGTCTAGTTGATACCAATCGCGAATAACAAGTCGCGCTATACACGTCATTGCCTGTGACGAAAATAATCTGCCGCGATGTGTTGGGTTTTCAACGTTCACGATAAACCAACGTCCGTTGATCGTGAATACTCTAATCGCAATTTACATTACGATACAGACGATACATTAACTTCATTCGCGTCGCTTACACTTTTTGCACTTAATTAAAAATTTCGCTAAAATTATTCCACATTTTGGAATAATATTTAAGTAAAATTATTGAGATTTCACTGAAAATAAAGTAAGTTTTTAGCTAATACTGAAAAATTACTGAAATTGAACTGAAATTTCTCTGAAATTTTGCTGAAAAGAACATAAATTTTTCAGCTAAACATCGTTAAAATTAAATTCCAGTTTTTCTGAAATTTTGCTGAAAAGTTGTGTTTGTGTTCTGAAACATTAATTAATTTTAGTAAAATTCTTATATCTTCTTTTTCTCTTTTATTTCATTCCTCATTTTAAGTGCAAATTTTTTTGGAAATTTTTCAAGCAACACAAACTGACTAATTGGTTGCATGTTGCAATGAGGATATATTGGGCTCATATTTGAGCCAACATAATACTGAACTGATCCCAACGAAGACACCAAAAATCAAAATGATCCTAATTTAATTATTTACGACAGTAAAATCAAATTTTGTAACAAAAATTATTAATTTGATTTTCATGACGTAAAAAATATTTTAACTTTCTCTTAACTTGATGTGTTTAATTAGAATACTGTGTCAATAATTGTATCAAGATATGCCGATTAATAATTAAATACACTTGCATTTCGGGACACTTGGGATCTTATGCAATATCTATCTTTTACAAATAATGACGAGCACATATGCGACTTGATTTTATATAGCCCTAGCCAAAAATATCAGACTTCTCATTAATCATTATTTGAAATTTTAATTAAACAACTGATTTATAACATTTACTCTAAATTATCCTTGATTTCAAGAATCTTTTAAACTTATGTATAATGTCAATAACCATGCATGTATAATAACAATGCATATAAAAAAATTCTAGACAAATAAAAAGAATGTAAGTGTCTAATGTTTCTGGCCAAGGCTATATTTTGACAAGTCGATTATAACAAGCAGATGATAATCTAGGGACTTTTTTCTGGTTAATGAAATAATCTCAACAATATGTCGAGTTATGAATACCCTTTATACACCGTGCAAAATATTCGTCGCAAAGCACGAAGGACGATCAAAGGGATAACGCGACACGTGACTCACCCTTTAATTTGATAAGCCTTTTATTCGCGGCGTTGTCACTGCTCCAACGCACGAATAACACTGTCGGGATCTCGCATTTTTCATTTATCGCTGGTATTATATTTTTAGCGCATTATATAAGTGCACGTGGGTGAGCAGGTTGTCGGAGCATATAATCTCTTTTGCTCGCTTTACATACGTAAGACGCGTATACGTCTTGCATACGCGTTACATACTTAACAAACAATGATAATTAACATATGCTCTCCCTTTTTTCTCTTTTTCTCTCTGTTTGTTATGTAACATTTTATTATATTTCATCTAATTTTATTCATCTTCATGTAGTTTTTTTTTCAAATTTCTGCGCTACTTAACTTTTGTAATTAACTTTTTTATTTTATATTTTTATTCACTTTCTTATTTTGCGTTTTTCACTCCTGAATATTACTGTTTATTCTTTTATATGTTCTCAAATGATTTTCTTTTACAACAGTAATAAATGATTTATCTCTCTCTCTCTTATTTAATATTAATTTGTTATTTATAAAATAAATCATTCAGTTTAATTATATAATATTATAATTTAGCGTATTTTTTGTATTATGAGACAATAAAAATATACTCTACTATTATTTTCTTCTTCTCATTGATGTTCTACGCAATGTGCAATTCATAAAAATAATTAATTAAAATATTGAAAAATACAAATATAAAAGAAAGAATGTACATAATATATTTTTATTTTACACATGGTAGACAAAAATAACTTGGAAGAAGAAATTAAGTTAATAAAAGTAAAGTTGAAAAAAGAATTTGTAATCTTGATAAAGAGAGGCAGAGAGAAATAGGAAGAGAAAAAAATGCGGCAACCTAATTGAAATTTAATACGTTCAACCTATTTTTTAATTAATTAGTACAAAGTATTGATCGTTGTTGGTTAACAGAAACTATTAGATATATAAAAATGTTTTAGCAATATAATTAACTTTTTTTATTTATTATACATTACATTTATATATATATAATAATACTTTATATATATATATATAATAATAATTTATATATAATAGTTTTATTAAGATTTCTACAAAACTCGCTAACAACATTGTATGCAATAACCATCTCTTAATGGCTGATATTCATAGTCAATCAATTTTTTTATAAAACCGTCTTAAGTACAATCTTTTATGATATGTCATGAACTAATCAGAAAACAGTATCAGACATTATTTAAGACGAGCTTAAAATAAGAATAAACTATGAATGCTACCCAGAAAATCATATCAGCATTTTAAGACTTAATAATTTAAAAATAAGCACCGACAATGAATACTGTTCAATAAATTATTAATCGTAATAAAAATATTTTACGTTTTCGATATTTGATGATCAAAAATCGATTCTCACTTGGGTATGCACAGTCGCAGGAGGTCGTTTCTCATTGTGTGTGCGTGATTTCTATTCTTAATAATTTGTCGATTTTCTCTTAACCGGAAATACATTATTTAAATGTATTCCTCAAGAAATTTGATGTGGAACTGCTTCAGTGCTTCAAGCATCGTTTTGATTTTTTTCTTTTGCGGCAGTATCGTAGTGCGGAAATGATTCGTACCAGGTATCTGGCCAAAGCACGAGCCCGGGAGCACTAAAATCCCGGTGTTCTCCAATAGTTCGAACGCGTAGAAGACGTCTGGTTCCAGGCCTCTTGCTCGCGCCGCCTCAATCATCTTCGACGACAGCTCGAAGCGTGGAAACGCGTACATCGCACCCATCGGCGGATTCGCCTCGAAAGAAAAAGAAATATTGCAAAAATATCGAGCAGCTCTCATCGCCTATTTCGCGAAAGGACAGTTATTACCTTATATCCTGGAATACTATTGAGGACGTCGTTGACGAGCTGCGATCTTTCCGCAAGTGAACGCAAGATCTCTTCCTTCTCTTTCTGGAACTGCTCGTACGATGGCTCATTCGGTCGCGGTGGATTCACCACAACATCCATTACAACCTGGCCGAGCACGGTAGGACACAGCGTCGCAGAAATCGACTTCAACAGCACCTTCATCACTTTCGGATCCATGTTGATGAATTCAGCGTAACCGCCACGGATCCCGCACTCACCCATATATCCTGAAAACGAAATACCTTAGCACGGGATACTTCTGAAATTTCCCGAGAAATCTATTCACGAATTTAATTTGATAATCGAAATTCAATAATTTTTCAAATCAAATCCTCACGTTCAATGTTTCAACTACCAATAAATTATTGCGAACATAATTAAAAAATTCAATATCCCTTGATTAAATTGTCCTGAAAATTTAATATTTTAAATAAATTGTTTTTAGTGATTTTCCTAACGAATTACGCTCCGATTTAATTTCCGAACTCTTTTTTTTCGCACCTTTCGAGATGGACATAAACGATGCGAGTTCCATTTTCGAATACGGTTCACCCATCTCTATTATGACCTTCTTGAAGGAATGGAATGCGCTGTTTTTGTCGTATATGTTGTCCTGATAGACTTCGTCGGCCAATAAAAATAGATGATGTTTATGGGCGAAGCGGATAACATTTTCGATGTTTTTGCGAGTCAATACTTGGCCGGTCGGATTACCAGGATTAATTATCACCAACACGCGGGGATTACACGTATCCTCAGCTTCTTTTAATGCTCGTTCCAACTCTCTGACTTCTAACGACCACTTGTTATCCTCATCCAGATAATACCCGATCTGAGCGAGACCATACTCCGCTATGGTTGCCGAGTACAGAGGATACTGCGGAATTGGAATCAGCACGCCGGATGGTTTATCGTTAATCCTTTCGTTAAATAGATTCAGAAATGACTGGAAGAGAAAGTCATATAAAGATGAAATAAAAAAATACAAAGTATAGCATTAACAGCTGTTGTGTTGTATCAGTGTTCAAAATATTATAGTTTAAGATGTCAGTTTTTAATTTTGTGTAGCGTGCATCGTATATGTAAAAATAATTAATCTTATGTATAAATATATATTATCTGTGTAAAATAACTATTTATACTTTTATTATGATGATAAAGACTGGAGCAATAAAATTATACAAACTTTTAATTTCTTCATTATTATTTATTCGAAATTACTTTCCATTTTGAAGTTTGCAAATCTATTCTTACATGTCAGAACATTACTAAATAACTACCCAGTACATACAAAGTTGTAGGCAACGTATCTGTTGGTAATTTTTCACTCAACAATATAACTGTATTATAATACATGTGTCATATTATAGTTAATTATTGTATATTATTAAGTGGAAAATTACCAGTATTTTACATATAACATCGTAACATGTAACTTTGCATTCACTGGGTAGATTACTTTCAAACGATTGCGTTCAAGTGACAAAAATAAGAGGCCCTTGAAGTCAATGTACCTTGATACCGATAGAAGCGCCGTTCGAGAGGATAATGTTGTTGTAATCGCAGGGGATACCGCCGTCGCGTTCCTGAATGTATTGCGCGACGTGCTTGCGAATATATTCGATGCCCCTGGTCTCTGAGTACGAGCCCACACTGCCACCATTGCAATTCCCCAGGACCATCCGGGCGCGATCTTTTGCATCCTCCGGGTAGCTCGGATCGTTGAGCAGATTCGGCGAGACCGTGAGGGTGAGCACCTGTCGCAGGAATGTAATGGGCTGCTGACCCATCGCGTGAGCGTCGCCAGTATTTACTTTAATCACCTCCTTGAAGGGTTTTTCAATACCCTGCAGAAGAAACGATCTTAGGTACAACGCGTTCCACAGCATTTTCGACCCAACTAAGTTTGCATCAACCTGGGTCAGATTAATGTTTCGTGCTCCCCTATTAGCAGAGCATGTAATATCAACCACTAGTAGAGCTTAATCTATAATTTTAAAATTTTTCTGATCTCTTAGTAAAGACTATATATAAAACTATGGCTATCAGCTCACAAATCAAAGATCTGTTCAAAAATAAAAGTACAATTTTATTATTTATCCAATTGTTTTGTAATTTATTTTTTAGAAATGTGAATCATATATGATCATTTTTAATCCTCTAGCTATACACACTGGGGACTCAGAATTGGAGACCAATTTCAATTTGCAAAATTGAGATTTTCTCGCGTTTCTGAATTTTTTCTTTAAACCATACATCTTGAAACTCCTTAATTTTATTGACTTTTACACATTATAGACACTTGTTCCTTATAATCAATTCTCCATCAATTGAAAAAAGAATTCATTTAAATATGTCCATTTTTACGGAAATTATGTGTAACAAATATGAATGGAGTTCCAGGGACTCGAGTGTGTATATGAAGAATAGAAAAAAACAGTGTACAGCTAGGGTTAATTTAAGTAATTATTTATGCTTCAGCTATTATTATTTCTGACAAAACAGGAACATACATAGCAGTTCGTGATATCAATAATGTGGTCTTGAACTTGATAAGGTAATTATTGTTATTGCGCAAGTTTTGTGCATGGACATACAACAATATCGTTATTGACGTTAAAAGTTACAAAATGAAAAATTACAGAATATTTAAGAGTTAAGTCTAATTTCTATCAGTGATCTAATTTTTATTAAAGCATTTAATGCAGCATACAATACAATCTAATTTACATCTAATAGATTTAGAAAAGAGAACGAAATTATGGAATTTATCTCTAACTGTAAATAACGGGTTACTTTCCAACCTTGAATATAATACTGTTGCATCGATTACGCGTTATCGTACATCTACACATTAATCATTTGTTAATGTTAGACAAATAAGTTTGCCCGCATTACGTTTGAATTGTTTTTACTTTATTACTTGCGAACAAAGTAATTTAATTATGTATATACAATATATATATGTTTATTTAAAATTAAATGTTTATACGCTATATTTGAATTTTTATTTAGTATTTGCGAGTAAAACAGTAGTATAGTTCGTATAATTTGGTTAAATGTTTATTGAATAAATATTTATATGCTGATATATAATTTAAATATTTTCCATTACTTTTATCTATATTTTACTGTGTGAGTATTTTATATTGTTCACGCGGATGTTTTATAGTTGTGATGTTTCATAATTTGTGACCTAAAATATTATAGCAACATTTTTGAAAAATTAACAAAGGACAATAATATAGTCACAAAGATTGATTTGTTTTTCCTTAAAATATATTAAACATAAAAATTTAAAAGATGGTTTTATGTATATCAGCTCAATCTTAGATTTGGGTATAACGGGGTAAAACAACCTCTTAAAGTGAAGAAATATAGAAGGGAATATTTTCAAAATATTATTATAGATTTTTGGAAAATCTAAATACAAAAAAAACTATAAAGTATATATAAAACCATAAAGGTTCTGTCTAAAATTATTTTTCTGTACATCTCTTTTACTGTTTTGCTGATAATTAATAGGGATAAAATATGAGCGTTAACTTTGAGAAGTTTCATCCCTTAAATCTGAGTTGGTCAACATAAAAAGAACATGTGTCCTTTAGATTTTTATGTTTAATAACATATTTAAAGGAAAATCGATTTCGAAGAATTGTAACACAGATATTCTTTGAATACAAAAAGAATTACAAATAAATTTTTACTTTAAGCAATCATTTTTTTGAAATAATGAGTCGAAATATTAATTACAGATTATATATTTAGATGATCGTGTTCTTGAACAATCTGTTCATGAACAATCTCTTCATGAATTGCACATGTGATAATATGTATTAATAAGCGCACTTTAGCGCACTTAGTCACAGGTAACTGAACGCAATTTGTATAAATGATCATATTTATATACTTTCATATTTTAGAAATCATATCTTATTGTTCAAAATAAAAATGTTTAAATAATTTCTTTATATTTTTTTGTTATTATCTTTACCGATGTTAAAAATTATATTGTATTAAAAATTGTTATACGACCTTTCTTTTAGAATAGCTATCTTATCACCAGTTCTATAATTTTGACATGCAAATTATACAAAATATATTTTTACAAATGCGAGATTTTATATTTAAAAAAAATACCGGTTTAAAATTAACCCTTAGTATATGCAACATATTAACATAATGCGTCCAATTTTCAAAGCTGCACATTCTTTTTCAATCCCCTTTACTTACTATAAAATATCCTTTATGCTACGACTTTTTCAACTTTCTTATCTAAAAATTCTTTTTTTCAGTTTTTAAACAATTAATTAAAATAATTAATTAAAATCAATGCATTATAACCCAAAATACAAGCAAAAGAAAATGCCGAGTTAGAAACACCTTTTGTGTATGTATAAGAGTTCTTTTGAGGTTGTGTGTACAAAGGATTCAAATTTCGAACATAAGTTCTTCAATTTTAACATCGTTTTTGTTCGATGTCAAAATCTCATTGAAACTTATAAGATAAACGTGTTATCTTATGACGATGGTGTTTATCACAATTCCTTTTCTCGTATAAATTTGAGAAAACGTATCTTATCTCTTGTACACGAAATGCAATTTTGAAATAAATCTTCCATCTATTCATTAAGCTCTATTTTTATTTTACAATTAGAAACTGAATTAGCATTTATTTTCCTATCCTACACTTAAAACATGTACAGAATTTTAATAAACATTTCATTGAATAGCACTAACTAAATATTTATAAAATGTAAATATATATTTATTTAATACAAGATTCATTATTTCAGGTATCACTTTATTTATTGAATAAATATTTATTTACTATATTTAGCGAATTTTATTTACAATAACTCCTTTTCTTCATCCTCATCCACCTTTTTTTTTTTGTTCTTATTTTTATTAGTGCTTGTTCAATTTACATTGAACATAGTAACTGTGTTTTTCTGTGCACTTTGTATTATATTGTGTGTCTCATAATTCTCGACTTAAAATATTACAGCCAAAAGGTTCTAGAAAATTTAAGTAAAAAGGTTATTTGTTAATTTTTATTTTAAACGGTAACTTTTAAGATAACAAGGACCAAATGTGACTAATTATAGATTACGTTTAGATAACTTATCCATAAATCGTGCTTGTAGTAGTATTAGTGCGCATTTTAGCCCACCTAATAATCACAGGTAACCATATCTATACACAGTTTGTAATCGTCCACATTTAAATTTTTTAGTAGTTATTGCAGCCACATAGAATTGTGATGTCATAAGCGACGAGAAATGATATGTTGAATTTTTTGCATGCCACTTCTAAATAAAAAGAAATGCAAAAATAAAATTATAAAAAGAACTATTTTCATTTCCTTGATAATCAGTAAATAGTCGTAAAAAACACGTAAAGTTAAACTATAAGACACGCAAAATATAATAATTAAGATTTATAAATTTATAGACATTTATAGACAATTCTTTTTATTTACAAATAACACATAAAAAACTTTAAGATGTCATGCTTGCTTATAATGACGCGATCCAATATGGCCGCGGCGACTTATATATACTCAGGAGTCTTAAACATTTATATTAATAAAATTTTAACTAATATATTAATAAAATTTTAACTAATATATTAATAAAATTTTAAATTAATAAAATTTTAACTAGTAAGCACCTAACTTTTTTACTATAATATTTTAAATCGTGCATTTTAGGACACTCTGTATATTATTTCTTTATACTATAAGAAATTCCATTCTGCTCTGAAGTGACATACGGTCCTTGAAAAATCACTCGATTAGTTTATTCTTACTCTTTGTAACTCTTTTTCGATCTCCACTGCTCTGATGAAGAGGGGTCCGCGCACCGTGTACTCCATATTACGCAGGTTCGTGAAGACGTTGTCTTCGGTAAGAACCTTATCGCGCGGGCTCAACGTCGCCATCGCCGTCACTGCGTTCGATGCCATGCTGTGACACAAAATAATCAGCTGGAGTAACGTCGAAGCGGAGAACTTATGCGTATCCCTACCTTTCGCTATACCAATCAGCACCCCGTTTACCAAACCAGCCAACAATACTTTTAAAATCCTTTATTTAAATTTTAAAAACATTTTTAAAAACATTAAAAGTAATGAGTTAAGTCCTCTTTTTTTGATTAAAAAAATGTTTATTTTAACGTTTGAAGAAACAAATTTTTGACGTTAAAAGAACATTTATTTATCGTTTAAAAAATAATTTTAAAAACATTAAAAATAATGAATTGTCATTTTTTTTTTATTAAAAAAAGTTTATTTTAACATTTAAAGAAAATATTTCTTTAATGTTTGAAAACCATTTACTTCAATATTTACGGAAAACGTTCATCTAAATAAAGTTTAAGAAATTTTTGTTTTATATTTTAAATAGTTCTTTATTTGAAAAATATATCTCGTTTAACATTTATATATATAGTATATATAATGTAATGTTTAACATTTATATGAAATATATTAGGTGCTTGAATTAATTTTCGCTGTTGACCGGAAGAGATCAGTATTTGTGCTGTTTCAACATGGCCGAAAGTGACTGCTTATGTATATGAAAGTACTATCAACAGACTTTAATAATCAGTATATAACATTTGATCGGCAAAAAACAAAATTTTTTATCGCATTAAAAGTGTCGGATTTTGTATCAAAAAAAGAGCATTTGAGAGAAGCGTTACTTTTCTGTTTTAACTTCAAGAAATTTGCTGCTGAAAATCATTGTTTGCTAATGAAGGCTTATGAGAAGCACACTCTATCTGAAACAAGTTGCAAAGATTGGTTTAGAAGATTTAAAAGTAACGATTTTGACGTGAATGACAAAAAGCGCCCTGGTCAGCCGAAAAATTTAAAGATGGAGGATTGAAGGCATTACTTTAACAAGATTCGTGTCAGACGCTCAAAGAATTGTCGGCAACATTAAATGTGTCAACCGTTAGCAAACGTTTAAAAGCAATGGGAATGATCCAGCAGTAAGGAAATTGGGTCCCACATGAATTGAGAGAAAAAGACATTGCAAAACGTTCAGCCATTTGTGAATTGCTGCTCCAAAGACAAAAACGGAAATCGTTGGTGCATCGAATTATGTGATTGAAAAATGGATTTGTTATACGACAATCATAAACGCGAGAAATTAATTTCATAATTTACACACAAAATTCTAAAAAAGTGATATAGACTTTCTCGGTATTTTCGAAGTATTGCAATTTGCATAACAAAATTTGAGACATTTTCTGAGGAATTATAAAATAACTCAGCAACTTCTAAAGAAGTTTGATATTTACACAAAAATTCTAAAAAATTATTTTAAAAAACTTGGCTAAAAAATTAAGAAAAAACCAGCTAATACTTGTTGCAAATTGTTCCAAAATTGAAATTATACGTCACTGACAGATATTAACAGTCTACAAATTAATTATCTTCCTTGTCAATAGTAGGTAAGAAAGATAGGCAATAGGCAGTGTTAGTAAAACATGAAAGATAGCAACACTTGTCTGATTATTGCAGCGTAGAGAATCGTTTTTACGTTAAAAGTTTTTAAACGCCAGTTGAACGGAACTAATTCCTAAGTATACTATCGTTTGTATGAAAAAAGTATCTTTATAATCACTACGTTTAGCATATATCAGACGAGAATAAACAAACGATGACGTTATGTGGACTGTCGTAAAATAAAACAAGATTCTCCGTTTACCTCCACTTCTCGTATTTAAAATGAAATAAGCATTTATTTTTGGTTTCTCCGCAAGAAAGAAAAAACGCGATTGACACGAAGAAACTTAAAAACAAGTCTTCGTTTTTCGGAGAGAATTTCAAAAATTTTAATTTATAATTTTAATATTTTCAATTTTACAATATACATCACGTGTGTATAATACAAAATAAATTATAATATGATAAATTAAATTTTACCATTTTTCACATAAATCAAATATTACTTTATTTTTAAACCGGTTTATTGTAAACAGTTATAAACCGGTTCAACGAATAAACTTCTATTGTAACGTTGCGAGAAAACAATTGTTCATCTCACCTAACGTTACGTAATAGTTACTTTGACTTTGACCTTATGATTACTAATTAACGACGAAGTTCTAATTCCCACCATGACGTATAATAAATCGTTGTTCTTTCTATCAATGATTTCTATATATAGTAATTTTTGTACGTATAATTCTGTGTATTTTGATTACCACTCTCTCTTCATTGTATTTTTAATTGAGCCTTTAAAGTGAGATTCACTCCAAAAAAAAAAAAAGAAATTTTTCCCTTTGGAATGAATCTCACACTTCAAAAGAGTGGAAAATTTGCCATTCTCATTCAAGAGTGCAAATATCTTTACTCTTTTGGAATGAAATTTCACTCCAAGAAAAAATATGAACTTGTTTCTTTTTTCACATATTTTTCAATTTTCATCTTTATTCAACGGAAGGACCATGGCATCCAAAAAAACGCAATTAAAGAAGACACAAGTAAAACGAATCGGCCAATCACAAGACAATAACGTAAGTAGAAGCAAATATTGATTTGTCCACTGTTTACGTTTTGCTGCTTACGGAAATTTATGTGTGGGAGTCTGGACGCTCCTAAGCGATTAAATTGCCCTTAAAGTTTTCTCAACCGTATAATATTCTGAAGCTGTATAAGTAAAATGGAAAACAGATTTCTGCAGGTTGCAGTCCTTTTTCGGTATTTCATTCGATCGGGGTTTAATTTCGATGAGATATATTATCTCCGCTGGTGACAAATGCGATTCGGTGCACCCTCAACGGGATTTCCCGTTGAACGCGACGCAAAAACTTCTCGTTCTCGTGCTAACAGTTTAACCCATCGCCGATCGCTATTTTTGGCGCAGCGTACGTGCTTCTGCTGTGCCAAGTTCGCGCACAAGTCGCGGAACGTTCCGCTCGTTCTCCGCCGCGACGCGGATCTATCGTTGCAACGACAGATTCGCGTTCGCAAAATTATTACCCGATAATATCGTGAAATTCCGCCACCTGATATGCGTCCTGAGACAAATATAATTTTGAACTTTAAAATATAAAAGAAAGATACCTCCCGGCATTTAAAATGCATACAAACGTAATACGTTAATTAATTAATTTAAAAAATTGGTTTTTCCATTATTTCTGCGTTAATAATTTGATAAGAAGCTGAATTTGATAAAATATTAACACTTTCAAGAGGATAGTAACAATCGAAATGTATTTTGTTTCTGGAAGCTGAAGTTATATTCTGAGACTTCCGTGAATAAAACATGCAAAAAGAGAATATTTTATTTCTTTGTTCATTTTTGCAATTGTAATTTTTATATCGATTTGTACCAACACCTTTTACAGTAATAATGCCGCACATCCGAGAAATATCAACATTTTCTAATAACTACATTACAAACAAAAATTTCCCTTAGAATTCTTTACACAATTTTTCAGAAATATTCATAAATTTAATACATGAAAAAAATTTTGAAAACGTATTATAAATTAATATGAGAATTTTCTTCATCGGAACGTATCGGAGAGTATTTTTTTTCCGAGCTGCATGTTCGACACGGGGAATTCCCAGATGACAGCTAAATCGTATGCGTCAAATGCAAACAATTCGCAGGAATTTGGCAGTGAACGTGACAACAGCTGCGTATGATGGCGGATGTTGTTTCTAACAGGTCATTGGTACTACTAATGGTCGCGAATTTCCTAAAGTTGCACGCAAATCCGCACAAAAAACAACGTTTACTGTAATGGAGCGAAAATTAGCGACACCAATACAATGGTATCTATAATAAATAGAGTGCTTGTTTTTAAATTTACTTTTCTCAGTCGTTAAGAGAAAGTATATCGTTAAGATAAAGTCATACTGTATATTTGCAATCAATTGAAGAAACAAACAAGCGTGTGTGACTTTCAAAGTCATATACATAGAAAAATATCATTATGTTGCTAAGAAAAGTGATTACTTAATTTATTTTCTTCCTTTCAAGTAATGATTACCTTTTACAAAAAATATTCTCTTGATGATAATCTTAAAATATACCTATTATAAATTTTGGAAAAGTTTCTAAAAAGTATATTTTAAGATTATCACAATGTTATGTACATGAATTTTCGAAGTTTGAAACTTAATTATTTACGTACAGTATTTTCTGCATGCATGTGGAGAAGTAAAAATAAAAAAATGAAAAATGTAAAATAAAAAATACAATAACAGAAACACGATATATATGACGAACATATATAATGATTTTCACAAAATACATATGATACAAAAACTGTTAAAAGACATTGCTTAGTTTGACAATTACAGCATATCATCTTAAACATCATTTTAAATAAATAATTTCAAATTATTTTTATTCTATCTTAGTTACGGAACTGTTGCTCCACTTTTGATTTAAGGGGGAAAGAACGAAACTGTCATAAGATAGAGTAGGCTTTGTATTTTCACTGATCAATCCCTTAAACTAGTCACACACTTTCATCGTATATGTGTAATTTCATCAAACGCACTTTTATCTCTCTCTCTCTCTCTCTCTCTCTCTCTCTCTCTCTCTCTCTCTCTCTCTCTCTCTCTCTCTCACACGCACATACGCACGCATACACATACTCTCATCCTTCCATCTCTCGTATCAGAAAAAATACAAAATTTCTGGCTGGAAAATAATATCAGTATAGATACGCGAATAAAATATCGTAGATACAAGGGAGAGAAGGTAAAGATAAACAAAGTATCACACCATGAATGAGAAATCGAAAAAATAATGCGTTGCCCTTGTCGTCCCCCGTTTCGCAACTTTCTATAAAAGGAATAAATAAGATGACACAGAAGGAAATAAACTTCCTTGAAAAACTTTGAAATCTCTGTATATGGTTCCTTCGAATGCACTCAAGGTTCAGATCTTGGTTCGAACGAACTTTTCTCGTGTATCTGAAACGCTTTGAGTATTCTAAACGGACGCTAAATTTGGAGTGCTGTATAGCTATACAGGGTGTCCTACAACAAACATGTGGATTCTTTAAGAAATACAAAACTGATTTTTTCTTAGTAAAAACATGGCCTATTTTTTTATTTTACAAAATCTATGAACAAAGATATGTGTAAATTAGACGATCTTTATAGGCAGAAATTGTACCCATTATAAAGAGAACATAATATTTTACAAGGCTTGTTATTTACAGCTAAACTAAACTCACTGTATGTATACATTGTAAAAAAACATTTATCTATTTGTATTAAAAACTCCATTCATTTTTCCACTCAAGTTCTTGTTAAAATTTTGTGTTGAATTTTTGACATATTCAAGTGTAAATGTTAAACATAATGTGATTATGTTATTTAAATATTTTTATATATTGATGTTCATCATTCCTTAGTGTTCAAATAAAACAATTTATGAAAAAGTGAACAGATAACATAAAAATACAGTGTTTTAGAAAGTAAATTCTAAGATAAATGAATAAAATACGTGTTAATTTAACATTATAAATGTTAAATTCACTAAAAAAGAATATGTTTACAAATCGTATCAGTATTATATTTTTTGTGTTCATTTTTTATATAATATTTGTGTGTTACTTTTATATTAATCTTGTGTAAAATTGAGACAAAAATTTGAATGGACCTTTTGAAATATATAAGAAATGCATTTATTTAACACAAAATTTTTCAAATAAACTTGAAAATCAAATAGATATATATATATATTTAAAATTTGACGAAAGAAAAAAAATTAGTGTAACTAGTGCAGCAGTAAAAAAACAGATCTTTTACTTCAATTTATCTTAGGCCAGTTATGATCTGATTTCAGGACATCTCTTTCTCACTTATGTTAAAAAGAGAAAGCAACAGATGGTTAAAAATTTCTTTCTCTTTTTAAATTGTGTACAGCACTAATCGAAATGTGCAAAAAACGAATTTTGTTCTTGGTCATAAAATTGCAAAATAAAAAAAGAAACTAATTGGATTGCATTTGAAACAACAAGTCGATGAAAATAAATAGCATTTTTTTTTAATTTCTCTTTGTTTATCTGTATTTTCAGTTTAGAAACAGAATAGAATTTTGATTTTATAATTTATTCTACATTATACAGAATCTTCTTGAAAATTTTTCAAAAAATACTTTTAAGTTTCAACCAGAGTTGCGTACAAAAATATTTGGCTGATTGTCAGAAAACCAGCATGTAATCTGTATGTATAACACTCACTTGTGATGCAAAATCTGTATTTTGGCAACTTTTAAGTGTCTGTTAAAAAAGAATTTGCACTAAATTATGCACGCATAAATTAATTTACGTCGCGTAACACATTCTGATGATAAATCTGTGAAGGTAAGAAGAAATGAGGGACGGTGCACACATCGGTATTCTCGACGAATATTCATGACTCTAAAGTTCGTATGTGCACATGCTTCATATGTGCACACACATCCGTGCCACTTTGTGTCGGCAGATGTGCGCGCGATACGCAGAAAATTATTAGCGTCAACACCAAACACACTTGCAAACACGAAATCATCTCTCAGGCAGGCATACAATAAATTAGAAATCAATGTTAACTTATCGTCATCACTGCCGTCACGTGCACGCTCTATGTGATGCTACACCGAGTATAACGTCGTTATAAACCTTCCAAACAGACCAATTTTCCTCTGTCGTGTCCTAAAGAGCGAAAAATAAAAAAAACTGACTCATCAGATAGCAAACTTTGATGTGCAAACTTCATACAAGAAGTTCGTATATTATTTTATAAAATACAAATATGGATCTTTTCCTGCGGTCACAACTTGAAAAAGTTACGTATTTTCTTTACGTATAATTAGTAATTTGCTTGATGAATAATTCCTGCGGCACGACATTTACGTGGCAAATTGATCTGCTCGACAGGTGAATATATAACGAAACTACACCTGGCCTTCTATAGGATGTCCTCGAAGTTACGCGTCCGGACTTGCGATGAGACTTGAATCTTTTCCACGCGATTTCGAGTCCATCTCACACAAGTCAGATGCGGTCTCTATTTATTTCACAATCATCCACAAGCTCGCAAATTATAAATAAATTAGAAGAAAGGTAAGGATTACATATACGTATCATCGACAGAGAGAAAAATTCGCTCGCTGCGCGTATTCCTACAAACATTCTTTCTTAGCGTTGAAAAAATATAATGGAACACGCGGATGTGCGAACGCTATTAAGAGCTTCAAATCGAAGGCCGAGGAAGTCAACGAACTTATCGCCCAGTTCGCTTGTGATTATTCTATAAAAGAGGAAGGCCTCGTCCTAAGGCAATGACGAGTGATTGAAGGATTCGTTGCTCGGCTCAAACGCGATTAGCTTGATTCTAGTTCGGAAACTCAGAAAAAGTAAGAAAAGGCAGCAGCGTCTTAATACAAATCAATCAAGCCACTTTACGGTGACAATTCGATATCCTACAAAACTCCTTCATTTCTATCCTTTCCATCACTCGACGTTCCTTCGCGACTCAAGGAACTTCATTTCTAGTCGATCCTCGTTCCTTTACGACCCACGAAATTCTCCCTCTCTTTCTCTCTCTTGTTCGCCAACTCTAGTCGAGTCGTGTCCACGTTGGGATTCACGTTCGACTATATGACACTTCTTCAGTATTTCATTTTTATTTCGCGCTTTCCGTCGGCGGTGGCGGCAGCGGGATTGCTTGTTCAGACACCGGCTGCTGTCGCTGCTCTTTCTTCTTCGTCTTCTTTGCCTTCTTCTGCAGCCTCGGTGATTCCATCAAACTTCGCTGGCCGTCATTCACCTCCGTCTTTTCCTCCGTCATTTCTTTCGTCTGTTGCTTTGGCGTCGCATATTTATTTTCCATTGTTCGCAACACGTCCTTTTGTTGTTCTTCATTCCTTCCATCACTCGGTTTTGATTCCTTGCTTGTTTCGTCCGCGCATTTCGTTGATTCATCTATCGACGCGACAGGCTGTTGCGTAATTAGATTCTCCGTTTTCTGTTCGGTAATCTGCTGTCCAGTAGGTATAACGCTTTGATTTGCTGATTCGACAGCTGTTGTCGCACTTTCACTTTCCGAGGATTCCACTTTCGTCTGCAAAACCGAAACAAAACGCCAAAAAATAAGATAATTTGTATAAATATTGCAATCGTAAAAGTAAAATAATTCGTCCTAAATAAAAAAATAAATAAAAGATAAGATGTAATTTGAAAAATAAAACAAATTGTTAAACTAAAATTTTCTGTTGACAAATATCCTGCATTTTAATGTCACTTCACTCGCGATTTCTCACCTTCGTCGGCGACGACGGCACCGGCGGAAGTGGTATTGGCTCATTACTGAGCTTCTCTTGCTTCGCGTCTACCTCCATCGGCTCAGGAACGCACGAGATCTCTTCTCCCCGCTGATCCTTCTCAGAACACTCCTGAGTCCCTTTATGTGCGATAGGTTGTTGCTTCTGCTGATTGGCAATTGGTGTTTTTGTTTCCAGCAAGCTAATGGTATCCTGGATGCTCTTGATGGCATTCTTACGCGCCTGCCGCACGTTCTCCCTACCTTCCGTCTCTATATCATCCAGTTTGATTAATTCGCGCGTCAGCATCTCGTCCAGGTACATGTAGTCCTTGTCCTGCCGGGAGCCACCGACGTAACGTCGTACCTGCTCGGCAAGATCGTCCACTTCCTTTTGTACCTGGGCAACTTTCTCCAGGGGATCCTTTGGCACCGGAGGTTTTGGTTTTGGTGTTTCTGGTTGCTGTTGTTGTTGCTGTTGCTGTTCCTGATGAGGCTGAGGTTGTTCAGTCTGTTGTTGCTGATGGTGTTGCTCATAATGATGCTGAGGTTGCTGCTGCGGCTGCTGCTGTTGATATTGAGGATGGTGATACTGGGGCTGTTGCTGATGTTGAGGCTGTTGGTAATAGTATTGGGGTTGCTGATGTTGCGGCTGAAACTGCCGCCGCATTGGTTGTTCAAAACCTGCCGGTTTATAAAACGCATCCTGGAAATGCGACGGTGGCCACTGCTGCCGGCTGAAGCGTTCGTTAAAGTGTGATGGTCTGTGGAAGTGATGCGCTGGTGGCGAGGACCTTTCGAAGTGGTGAGATGGCGGTGACGGTTGTCGCTGGTGGTGCTGAAAGGTGGTGGACGGCGGCGCGTCGTCTGTTGCGACCTTTGGCATCACCGGCACGTCGCGGCCCTCCACGAAAATGGGGATATGTCGGACATTACTGGCTGGCTTACTAGGCGACTGCGCACGTTGCTGATTGTGCTGCGGCGTGATATCCACTCGAGACACGAATCTCTGACCTTGACCAGTTTGCGGTGGTAGTTGCTGTTCTTGACCTGGTTGTTGCGACTGTTGCTGTTGCCAGCTCTCCGGTGGTGCTGACATCGAGCGCTGACCGCGCTCATCCTTTTCCGGACTCGTCTCCATGTCGCGGCGTCGCTGTTGCTGGCCTATGTCCACTGTGTTACGTAGACCGTACTGCGGTATCGCAGACGATGACGTCAGGTCGTGCTCGCCACCGCCGCCGCTATGCGAGCTGACGGCACTTGCACCACTCGCGGCACTGCTACCACTTGCCTGACTACGCGCGTCCTCGTCTTGATGCTGCTGACCTTGCTGCTGCTGGTCGTCGTTGTTGCTACTACCGGAGCCGCGACGTCGGCGGCGACGGTCTCGCAGCAGGGAACCGCTGAACGGCCAAGGTGGACCGCGCAGGTGCTCAGCGAACTCGGGGTGGCGTGACGCAAGGTCGTCCAGGTGTGCGCGGATGCCGTCGCTGCGCGGACGCTCGAAAACGTCGGCGTCGTCGTCGAACGGGAACCCCTACCGAGACAGATAGAAACTTGATAAAACCAATTCAGTTGATGTTGTTTAAATGAGTAATTACTTATACGATAACAATTAGATGATTCTTCATCACAATTGTGACCTAAAACCGGCTGACAGGTGTTTGACATGTGCAAGAGATGAAATATATAAGGTTAAAACATAGAGAACAGAGTTTACGCAATATTGAATATTAATCAATTAAAATATGGATCTTTTTCAATCGTGATAGACGAATATTTAATATAAGGCAGATGTTCAAGAAAATGATTTACTTACTGCTTACGTCTTATTATTTAAATTTATTATGTGCCATAGCACCTTCAAATGCAGATAATGGGGGTAATCAATCATTCGGTATATTCCCTAATAAATTAAGGGCGACTTCAATTAAATTCCAATTAACTTATGAAGCAATATTACTTTGCTAATGTATAGATAGAATAATTAATTTTTTATTATTTAATACACAAAAAGAAAGATTAAATTATAGGTACGATGAATTATATATAGAATGGATCCTTAAGTGTTTCTAAAAGATTTTAAGGGATGACTTTTCAGATTGATAAGACAAACAAAATTTCGAAAATTACTCGGATTATTTTGAAACTAAGCTATTTCAAACACATGATCATATATAAAGTTTTTGTCTTGAATTAATGCAAAGAATCTTCTTGATTTAGAATATTTGAGAATCAAGCTGTACAGCTAGGAATTTTGCAATAATTATTAATTCAATTAATTATTGATCAAGTTAATTGGAGTTTTTCTCCAAAGTCACCCTAACGGTAACAGCTGTGCGTGACATTCAGTCGTATCGACTTCGATCCGACGAACGCGAGCAAGGGCGCTGAAGGGGAAATTCGCGTAATCGGGCACGAGGTGACGAATCCTCCTTCTCTTCCCTCTCCTCCTCTTTCTTTTCCTGCGGCGAATCGAGGTCGCGTCGTCGTTCCACTTAGCGCGATCGGCGGACATACGTTGTAAGAAAACCATACACGGAACGCATACGAGAGAAAGAAAGAGAAAATGAGAGAAAAATGGCAGCAGAGAGAGTGAGAGTGAGAATCAGGAGAATCTCTTATATACGCGCATCTACACCCAGTAGATAGATTTTCCTATTTTCGGCCCGGCTGGCCATGGCCAACACGCCACTACCGTATTATAACTTTTCGCCTGTCAACCTCAAAAATGACCCGCAACAGGATAATATCGGGCTGGAATACTTATTCTTTTTTTTAATGCTAAATTTAAAGGGCCTTCAATCCAAATATCCATTTTTGACGCACACTTAATCCTGCATCGCTTGCCATTATCGCGGACGACTGAATGTCGAGAGATGCCTTGGCCGTCTCTTCTAGACGAATTTATTTTAACGCGCACTAAAGAAACGGTTTTGCTGAAGTATATAAACATTTAACTAGATACAAATAAATAGGGAAATAGATAGATTTAAAAAATAATTTTGTTTAGACCATTAGAATAATTATGTAGAACTCTCAAAGTACAAAAAAAGAATTTAAGATTAAACTAAAATATCTAAAAATTTAGATAGATACAGATCTAAAAATAATCATAAATTACTGCCATAAATTCCTCTGCTTAAAATTCCATAACTTTCCTTTGGTATCTAGAAAAAAATTTGTAGTTTTCCCTGATGCTTTCATAATATAATAATAATAATTTGAAATTTATTGTACTTTTGTTCTGATTTAGAAACCGTCAAATATTTTGTTAAGAGACAATTTAACATAGCAATGTAAATAATTACTATTAATTTTGCTGACACTGTTTGGATTGTTGAATTGGTAGTATTCCAAAACTGCGTAGATACGACATACACATATATTAAACTTTTTTAAGTTAAGAACTTTAATTTTCTAAAAAATTTTACAAAATTTCCTGATTCCCCTGATCGTTTTCAATTTCTCTGATTTCCCTGATTTTCGGTTTTGTGTAACAACAATCGTGATGATTCTGTTTGAACCATCAAAAAAATAATTATGTACATTACTTACATACATATACATACAATTATGATAAGTCATTCAAACTAATTGCTAAAATGTTAAAACTTTTTGCAGTATCTTCATCAACACTTAAACGTTCTACACAATTATTTTGATGGTCCAACAACATTATTTTGAGATCTACGTGCAGCTAAATTTGTAGGTATTTCAGTAAAACTGTTCTTTCCATATGCAATCTCGAAGAAACGGGAAATTCGTTTTCGCATCCTCCTTCTACTCCTCGCTTTTATAGGTTTCTTTTATTTCCGCCGGGTGATATCATACGGGGGAAACGATCGCTCGGTCTCGTTTCTTTTCGGTTCTTGGTCTCCCTCTTCGTTGGAGCACGCGCAAATACGCCCACGCGTGCACGCGAATCATCCGTCGCGTTCCAGAACGCCGAGAGAGAAACGTCATTGGGACGTGTAAGAGCACGTTACAGATAGAGTCAATCATATGAAGTAATTCCTCTTTCCGCCCCTCTCCTTTGGTGCACATATCGGCGATCTCGCCTAATCATATGGCCGGTATTGAGCGTAGGAAGGTATCTGATAACGTGACCGATATGACGTCACGCCGCGCCTTTTGACGTTGTGCCGTTAAGCCCGTATCAGACTATGCATCAGAGACCCCGAGGTTTACGAATTGCAGCTTAAGGACTGCAATTGTAAATTACATGGAAGGAACAGTTTTGCTAAAGTATTTAATATTATAATTAAGTTAGATCTGAAAATAATTTTGATTTTTGAACCATTAAAATAATTATGTAGGATATTCAAGCTGATTGCTATTATACGCTAAAAAATAATTTAATAAATCTTAATGTACATATATCTTTTTGAATAGTACTAAGTAAATATTAACTTATAGTAAATAAATATTTACTCAATAAGAAATAATAAATTAAATCAATTTAATAGTTCTTATAACGAACAAATACATGTTTACATTGAGTAAATATTTATTTCAAATTATTCGAACTATATTTTACAGTATTGTCATCAACGCTTAAGTGTTCTACAAATTTATTTTGATGATTTAACAAAAATATTTTCTTTCAGAACTAAATTTCTTAATACTTTAGCAAAACCGTTCTTTCCTTATAGGATTCGACCAATCAGGCAGGCTAGAATTGTATTCATCCGATTGGTCGAATTCTAATCACCAATTCGCTTCTCTTATAATTTCCATGCAACGTCTGATATAGGCTTTAATGATATCGACCACGATAATAACGGCGATCTTTCGAGGCATCTAAATAGGTTTCGTGACATCATGACTGCTGCGTTTGACGGTCACGCATCGCGATCATTCACGATAATTCAATGATAAGTACATTGATACGAACGTCGCGGTTTTTTATTCATCACGTTTGTTTCGAAAATTCGTGTACATTTCATATCATCGAAATATCAATTAACAAGATATTTTGATTTTAATTGTTAACAAGATAAACTTCTTTCGCGACCATCACAATAATGGAACTGGAAAGTTCTCGACGAATATCGTGATGTGACGATAATATCTCAATTTTTTATTTTCTCTCTCTTTTTTTTTTGCGAACGACGCGTTTCGTCGCGACGCATTCGAATGCGACGCGAAAAATACGGCGCGAATGCTATTTCTGATTTCCACGCGATCTCGAAACGCGGAATGCGAGGAGCAGCGGTGGAGAGGGAGGACTATATATCGGCAGTGAAGAGAACGTATGGAAATATCTCGTGAGCGTTGCTGATTCCATTAAGATCTGGATCTTGTCTTCTTGGAACCAGACGGAAGAGAACCACCACTATGCGTCTATCACGTTTGCCTATATCATTTGCAACTTTGAAGATCAAGAGCCGAAGTACAGACCTTTGCATAACATGTAATACGTAGAATATAAGAAAATCAACCAATCGAAGCCTTTTATTTATTAGAAAAGAAGAAAACGGAAGACTTGGATTGTTTCATCTTCTTATGTTTCATGCGTTATGCAAGAGCTTTAATACTTCTATAGCTTCAATACTTCTATAATAAGCTTTCTACAATAAGCCATTATTTAAGCTTTAAGTCTATGATTATAAGAAATTGATCGATCACAGTCAAATGTGAGAAGAATAATCGACTATAATGAGTTAATTTCTTAAGATTTAAAGATTAGGTAATGGCTTCTTATAGAAAGCCCATTAGAGCTAGTTGTTCCACTTTCGGATGTGATAATTTATCTAATAGGAAAAAGAAAGAGCGAAAGAGAGAGAGAGAGAGAGGAAGAGAACAAGAGAGAGTAAGCTGAAATTTATCGAAAAGTGGAACAACCCAGCTTAAAGCCCGAATCCAGACTACAGGTTGACGATTACGATTGGCGGTTGTCTGAGTTCTATTTCAACCAATCACGATAGACTTGCTGTATTGTGATTGGTTGAAATAGGACCGCGTAACTATCAGTCGTAATCATTAGTCAATCCACATAAAGCCCTGATCAAACTATAGAGATTAGACGAAATTTAACCAATTACAAGAAAGGAAACCAATCTCAAGTTTTGTAAATTTTGCTTTTGATTGATTAAATATCAATCCAATTATCTCAATCTCCAGTCTGATGACTTCAGGCTAATATTTCATTTGTTGTATGACAAATTTTTCAAATATGTTGATTGGTTATAAGAATTTCCAGAGAATTTCTCTATCCTGTAGCCAATCAACATACTTGAAATACTTGTGGTACAAATGAAATATTAGCCTTAGGCGGTGAAGGACTGATGGTGTGTGATGGAAAACCATAGCAGCAGTGCGTATAATTCACAGCGCGCAGCATTCGCTCGCGAAAACATCGATCCGAGATGCAATCGTTTACAAACGGAGTGTTCCTAAATAGAAAGGAGCCCGAACCTCAAACTTCAGCCTTCGAGAAGCTCGCGCGGAGCAACCGAGAGCTCGCTCGGCAGCGCAGAACTTGCGTGCTCCGAGAAATCCTGCGTCTCGCGAGAAAAAAATAACGCAAAAAAAAAAAAGGAAAAAGAAAAAAACAGAGAGGTGGATAACGTCACTTACGGGGAACGAGCAGCGGTCCAGATCGATCTCTCGTCCCAATTTGGATGCTGCGTCCACGATGACAGGCGAGTCCATTTTCTGGACCCGTTCGAGCCCGCGCGTCCGTTTTTGGATACCCGACACACGCACTCTCTCTCGCTTGCACCAGCAAGAAATTTCTTTCCTTCCTTCTTTCCTTTTCCTCTTTCTTTCCCGTTTTCCTTTATCCGGAATATATTTTATATATCACGCACAAAATCTTTTTTAGCGGCTCACGCGAAAGCGCAAAGACGTCGAGAAAAGGTTTTGCCGTGAGATTTCTCTCGAAATCTCCAACCTCCTTATTGCGTTCTCTCGCTCTCTTTCTCTCTCTCTCTCTCTCTCTCGCTCTCTCGCTCACTCTCACACGCTCCTAATATATCTCTCTCTCACTCTGCTCACTCGCTCGTAATAGCTGACACTCACACGTCGTGCTTCTCTCTCGGCTTTTCCTCGTCTCCTCCACTGCCTCCACCGCGATTACATAAGCAACGTTTCGCTATACACTCGGGATACGTCTCTTTCTCACTCGCTTTGTCGGCTGTACTTTTTCAAGGCCGTTCTCTCCGACTATAGTGCGAAAGAGATAGGAAAAAAAAAAACGCGTGCACGTGCGTTTTACCGTGATTGCGCGCGTAACCCACCGCAAATGCGGTTGAAAATGAGACTGACAGCGCGCGGGCCGCTGGAGCACTTAAATGCGCGGTTACGTGTGGGTTGTACGCGACCACGTGACCACCGGCGGCAGCAATGACGAGTATGGGCGAAGGCGGCCGAGAGAACGCGAGAACTCACTAGAAGCTTCTCGCGCCTACTTCTCGCTGCTTCTCGTATACGATCGACGGATCGAGAAAATGCGGAACAACGCGGAAGCGCTTACGTTACGTCACGTTGAATTATCTCATTCCGTTCTGTTCGATTTGTTATCAAAACATCGAGAGAGTAATTATTATAGTATCTCTTCCTTTCTCGTGCAAATTGTGGTAAAGAAAAGATACTTTGAATCTAAAAATAGAAACAAAAGAAGAATGGAAATGCGAGACGGCGACGAGTCGTGAAGACTCCATTCGTTTCGGTCGCTCTTTTGTGTGACTATATATTTCTCTTCTCATCGAAGCATGAAGTTTCTAGACTGCGTATACGAAATTGTGAATTAGAATTCAACCAATCGGAACGAAACAGATTAAAATTAAAATTGTCTAATTGTGATCGAGCTCCAACCTACAATGCGTAGTCTGATATGTGCTTGCACAATCGTCCGTTTGCTACAACAATAATGACATAACACAGAAATTTTTAGTTATTATAGAAAAAGAACGGAAATTAAAAAAAAAAAGAGAACGTACTTTAAAAGAACATACTTTGGTGCCTCTGCAATAATTTATTATTCTTTTTCAAAATATTTCATAATTACTATTACTATTACAAAATCATGATCATTCAAAACATTAAAATTCAATTTCTGAAAAACTTTGTTTTTTGAGTTGTCATTGTGTGGCAAATGGATGAATATCTACTTGATCAAAATATAGAACCTAGGCAGCACAGAACATTAAATATTTATCACTATTCATTTTTTAAAATGATATATAAATATTTTATACATATAATATTTTATATAAAGCTTAATCGGAATATTATTAAAATATTATTAAAATATTAATCAAATATTTTATGTAATATTTATGGTAAATATATGAATAAATATTTTTAATAAATTTGCTTTACTTGGATTCTAATGTCTTATTAAATACTTTCATAGCATTTACTACATTTACGACAAATATTTCATAATATTTATAATAATATTCATAATAAATATGATTTGTTTAATTTAAGATCACCAAAATATTTAACATAAAATAATGATATAGCTCGAAAAGAAAAATTAGAAGGGTTACGAGCCAACAATAGTTTAAGATTTAAAATATAGAAATATAGACAAAAATGTTTCCAAAATATTTTAAATAAGCCATTTTGTAAATATTTTATAAATATCGTGTACTGTCTGAGGAAGTGCACACGAATTAATAATGTGTGAAGGTAGATGGATGGATGAGAACGAATGAAACGATGAGAACTGAGTTTTGATCGACTATAGGAGAGAAGAAGAGAGATATATGACCTATATTTTTAGGCATGAGCAAAAGAACCCAAACTGGGTTGCATGCCTGATACCGATCGCGAAAAGTATGGCACTCGGAGAGAGGTAACTTGTGCCTAAAACTTCCCCTTATAGAACTTATAATAAACTCATAAGTTCACTTATAAGTGACAAATAAGATCAATTTAACATCCTTTTGGTATTATATTACGACTCTGTGTTGTATGTACCCAGCTGAGAACGCGCGCATACTCTCTCGAATGCATTCCGGAAAGAAAACAGACGTTCGATTAGGAAAGAAAACATATACGAAAAAAAAAAATAGCAATGAGTGAATCATGAAGCTATGCACGCGGGATAAAGAGTTCGGCGAAAATTACTGGCCGGGACACCGATGTTCGTCACGTAACTCTAAATGGGGCTTGTAAATGCACATACATGTATACGCGAGTTGTCCGCGAATGAGTATGACACAACAGATGCAACAACATAACGATAAATGGCGTTTTGTACGAGCGCACGAATACGAGTCGCGTGAGTCTCGATCGCTTGTGGGATCATCGATAATGACGATCGATGATCTACGGTGATCGATAGCGATGTCAGGAGCACAGGAGGCGCGAGGAGGTCGACACGAGTCCGACGCGAGCCGGCGAAAGGCTCATTCATACGATGGTAGAGGGGGGGGGGG